TAGCAGGAAAAGATGAATTAAAGCATGTTATTTGGAAATTAATGCAGAGTTGCTGGACATTTTCACAGTGGCATATTAATATTGCTTCTATAAACATTTTTTATGCGTCCGCCTCGATAGATCGGGGGCACATATTGTTTTTGTCCTGTCTGTTTGCTTGTATACTTTAACCTTCACCATTACTTTTGAACCAATGAGAGATAAAGATTTCATATTTGGTATGTCTACTCCACTAATTAAGTTCTTTCAAATGACATCAAGGTCAATGACCTTGTGACCTTGACTGTGACCTATATGCTAAAAATAGCTTTTTCGAATATCCATCATAACTTAAAATTAATGAAAGATAGAGACTTTATATTTAGTATGCATAAGTCACTAATTAAGCTTTTTCAAAAGGCACCTGAAGGTCAAAGACCTTGAGACCTTGGCTGTGACCCATATCCTTAAAATAGATTTGTTTAACCTTGAACATAACTTTTGAGCCATAAAAGATAGAGAACTTGTATTAAGTATGCACCCTTCGTTAATTAAGCTCTTTCAAATAACACCAAAGTCAATGACCTCGGGACCTTGACTGTGACCATATACTTAACATAGATTTTTTGAAACTTCGAGATAACTTTTGAGCCATAAAAGAAGGAGAATTCATATTTGGTATGCGCCCTTCACTAATTAAGCTCTTTCAAATAACACCATGGTCAATGACCTTGTGACCTTGACTGTAACCATATGTTTCAAGTAAGATTTTTTGAAACTTCGACATAACTTTTGAGCCATAAAAGATAGAGAACTCATATTTGGTATGCGCCCTTCGCTAATTAAACTCTTTCAAGTACATGTAACACCAAGGTCAATGACAATTTGACCTTTACTGTGACCTATATGCTAAAATAGCCATTTTGATCCTCAGCCATAAATTTAGAACTATGAGATAGAGACTTCATATTTAGTATGCATACTCCACCAATTAAGTTCTTTCAAATGACACCAAGATCAATGACCTTGTGACCTTGACTGTGCCCATATGCTATAAATAGCTTTTTCAAACTTTATTGGCACCAGGCGTATAGTGTTTCACAAACATATCTTGATTTTCATTATGATGATCAACATAATTTTCTATCTGTTCAAAGAATAGCAGAAGTAGCTATTTCTTATTCACCCTTTGGCTTGCTATTGTTTGTTATATTCCTCAGCACAGTTTGTTAATTGTTAGATTGATAGATCATTATTTCTATTAATTACCAACATACCAGTAATTATGTAGTACTGTAGTGGTGCCCAAATATTGCTGCAGCACAGCCTGAAATAATACATGCACTGCAATTGCTTTGAAGCAACATTACCGCAACACTTTTCTGGCAATATTGCCGCAAAACTAATTAACATACGAAAAACGATATTACCGCAATATTCCGGCAATAATGCCGGAAGATGTTGCCAGAAGATCAATATTTTGGTCATGCTTTGCAGCAATATTGCCGCAACCCCTTTCTGGCAATATTGCCGCAAAACTAATTAACATACGAAAAACGATATTGCCGCAATATTGCGGCAATAATGCCGGAAGATGTTGCCAGAAGATCAATATTTTGGTCATGATTTGCAGCAATGTTGCCGCAACCCCTTTCTGGCAATATTGCCGCAAAACTAATTTACATACGAAAAACGATATAGCCGCAATATTGCTGCAATGTATTGCCAGAATGTTGCTGTAATATTGCGGCAATAAAACCAGAAGATGTTGCCAGAAGGTCAATATTTTGTTAAGGGTGCTCATATAAGCATCACTGACTGAGACTTAAATCAAAAGTGACAGTCAACACCTACATATAAATGAAAAAATTACAAAAAACAGTCTCCGACAAACTGAAAAAACATCAATGTCAGCTGCGAAAGCATGAATAAAGTCCTGAGAACCACAAGAGGCATGCCATGCTGCTAAGTGACATTCTGCACTACATGTATGATGCATGGTTAGAACTCAGAATAAGTATTATCATGCAGACTCTGACAGTATTTAAGGATTTTTTGGTCATAACCTTCCTTCCTGTGAAAAAATTTTAATGAATTTTACTTATGTAGCTTATGTATGAAGTTTATTAGACAGATCTGACTCATTTCATTCTTTCTTTTCTTCCAATGCAGTAATATATGTATCAATGGAGGTGTGAATAAATTAAAATAAATCATGTGTCTGTAGAAATTATAATTCTGTGAGAACATATTTACTTGTTTACATTTTATTGCAGTTGTTGCTTGTGATGAAAAATCATTCGCAAACATAGAATTAGTCTATTCTTGAAAAATCAGCTTTAACACCCTTTACCGCAAAGTCTGTAGATACTAAAATTGACTGCGGTCAGCTGGTGCAAATAATGTAAAGTCATATAAAATGAAAAAAAAACATTCTCTGACTTCTTTCTACATTTTAGTTGCATAATGCTACCTCTTCACTCATATCTTAAAGTATTGAGTGCAAAAAATAACCTATCGTTAATTTTTACAGAGAAATCTGTGAAAAATAATGTAAAATCTAATTCTAATTTTAAAATTGTGTGTTTTCTAACAAAAAGTTAATAAAATCACATATTCTGTTCACACCGGTAATTGTTTTCACTTTATAATTCTATATAGAATAAAAAATCGTTAAAAATTAGGTATTTGTTTACAAAAAAAAATATTTAGCAGGAGGTGTTAAACATGACCTGTCACATTAGCTGACACCAAAACACAGGGTACCCACACGGCATTTTCGGACTTTTTCCATCTGCAAACAGGGCTACTCTCAAATCCACGTGTTTTCACTTTGTTTATAAACACCTCGAGTGCATCACAGGAAGTAGCTTCCTGTGCCCTGAAAAAAATAGTTCCTGTCAAAAACCTTTATTTATTCACAAAGTACATAAAATTTACTAGGCACAGGTAACAAAGTTGTAAAAATGGTTTGGAAGAAAATAGAAAAAACGCCTCAAAAGAAAAGAAAATTTATTTTATATATATGGACCTACATTTGACTAAGTTCATTTTGATTGGTCAATTACCGGTGTGATACCTTGAAGTTTTCATAAACAAAACAGCATGGTAAGAGAGGGAAACCCGGTAGGCCTGCTGCATTGACAAAGTCGACCAAAACGAAAAACAAAATAGGGCTTGAAATTAAAAAGCAACTTTCCTGACAAAAATTTAGTTGGGAGATTAACATAATCATTGGATGAAGAAGAAACGGGATCTCGACGACATTCACGTGGGGCTCGCGAAGGTTCTACCCGATACATGCTATCGAATCATTTCTCATATCTCCATGGCTTTCAAAGAAAAAAATCAGCATAAACTCAACATAAAAATGCACTCATGAAATATAAAAATTATTGCCATTTAAAGTGCAAATTGTATTGGAACCGCAGAAAGACATTTTGTTTGACATTTTGCCGCGATGACGTGTGATTTGGTGCTTTTTCCTTTCCTGCACCCAAATACACAAAACGTCAACATTTGGCCTTAATCATGTTAAATTCCTCTGAATGCAGACTAAAATGTTAACTATCATTAATTTAGCAATAAAATAAGAACAAAGAATTTGTATATATATATATATATATATATATATATATATATATATATATATATATATATATATATATATATATATATATATTCAAAAAAATTATTTTTCCTTGGTATAGGGATAAAATAATAACTTTGATCAGATGAACTGTAAAACTTTATCTGTGCGCCTCATTGAACTGTGATTATTATTACGTCACAATCATTATGTTTAACGTTGCCTACATAACGTCACGAGAATGACGTCATAATGTAACTTGTTTACAATTTCAAATCTACTGATGAGCCCGCATGGGGCGAAAGCGCTTTAGATAAAAGTTTGAGTTTATCATTTGAATTTGGATTTTATATATATATATATATATATATATACATACATATATATATATATATATATATATATATATATAAATCAAAATTAAATCGAAGATAAACAAACAAGTTTACGTTTAATTTTTTACACTAAGCGCTTTCGCCGTTACGGCTCTTCAGAGTGTAACAATGATAATAAAAACAATACAACTTCGTTGTTATGACGTCGTTATTATGACGTCACAAAGGCAGCGTTATACATTGGCACAGGTAAATGTCAAAAAAGCGCCAAATGTATAGAGTTAAACACATGTACATTGTAATAAAATGGACCATTTCTTTAGAGCTAAAATGTTCAATTTACATTTAATTTAGGATGAAATAATTTAACAAAATAATCTTCCTTGGCCCTCCGTAATTGTTCATTATCTTCTGTGATTTTATAAAATGGAAATATCAAAAAGTTTCCATTCGCACATGAATCAAAATGTTCACTGCAAGGTGTATTCCTGACGGAGGGGTCTCGTATTTGTTGTTTATGGACTCTTACACGGTCAGCTAGTTTGTTACCGGTCTGTCCAATATAGTTTTCCCCGCATGAAGTACAAGTCATACAGTAAATTAAATTTCTAGTTTTGCATGACATATTCGCATTGACGGTAAACGTTTTACCACATTTAAATGTAAAATTTTCTCCGGTTTTTAAATAAGGGCAGGTTCCACACAGGGGATCCATACATTTGGCTACAGTGCGTTTTTCCTCATCCGATGAGAATCTGGCTCTTGTTAGGAGTTTCTTTAGGTTTGGAGGTTGGCGTCGGCTATAGATGATGCTCTTCGGGTCAATTAATTCCTTTAAATTTTGGGATTGCTGTAAAATAGGAAAACACTGTTTTACGGAGTTATATATATTAAGGTTCCGTGGGTTATGGGTAACGACCAGCGGGATTTCCTTATTGTTTTCCTGGCGTCCTCGTCTAGTAGAACGGAGATCTGCAGTCGGTATTGACTTGGCCTTTTCAATTGCTATATCTATTAAGTCGTTAGGATATTTTTGTCTGAGCAAAAATGCTTTTAATTCCTGTAGACGGCCATTTCTTCTGGTTTCATCTATGACAATGGTACAAACACGTCTTGCCATATTAAAAGGTATGTTACGTTTAACGTGTGACGGGTGGCAAGAATTAAATACCATTGTCATAGATGAAACCAGAAGAAATGGCCGTCTACAGGAATTAAAAGCATTTTTGCTCAGACAAAAATATCCTAATGACTTAATAGATATAGCAATTGAAAAGGCCAAGTCAATACCGACTGCAGATCTCCGTTCTACTAGACGAGGACGCCAGGAAAACAATAAGGAAATCCCGCTGGTCGTTACCCATAACCCACGGAACCTTAATATATATAACTCCGTAAAACAGTGTTTTCCTATTTTACAGCAATCCCAAAATTTAAAGGAATTAATTGACCCGAAGAGCATCATCTATAGCCGACGCCAACCTCCAAACCTAAAGAAACTCCTAACAAGAGCCAGATTCTCATCGGATGAGGAAAAACGCACTGTAGCCAAATGTATGGATCCCCTGTGTGGAACCTGCCCTTATTTAAAAACCGGAGAAAATTTTACATTTAAATGTGGTAAAACGTTTACCGTCAATGCGAATATGTCATGCAAAACTAGAAATTTAATTTACTGTATGACTTGTACTTCATGCGGGGAAAACTATATTGGACAGACCGGTAACAAACTAGCTGACCGTGTAAGAGTCCATAAACAACAAATACGAGACCCCTCCGTCAGGAATACACCTTGCAGTGAACATTTTGATTCATGTGCGAATGGAAACTTTTTGATATTTCCATTTTATAAAATCACAGAAGATAATGAACAATTACGGAGGGCCAAGGAAGATTATTTTGTTAAATTATTTCATCCTAAATTAAATGTAAATTGAACATTTTAGCTCTAAAGAAATGGTCCATTTTATTACAATGTACATGTGTTTAACTCTATACATTTGGCGCTTTTTTGACATTTACCTGTGCCAATGTATAACGCTGCCTTTGTGACGTCATAATAACGACGTCATAACAACGAAGTTGTATTGTTTTTATTATCATTGTTACACTCTGAAGAGCCGTAACCACCGGATAGAACGCCGCATTCGGGGTGGCGGTGGGGCGTGACTCGGGGTGGCGGCACCGAAGCGAGAAAAACACCATCAAAGTGTGTTTACCTGAATTTTTTTCACATGTTCAGACATCTTAGATCAGAAAATTGTATGCTACGGAAGAGAACAAATATCAACGTACCTCTGACTGTTTAAAGCAGCCTTTGAGAGTGCTCCGTTTTCTCAAACACTCCTCCTCACTTTTCGGGGTATCAACGTTTTCGACTTCTGACATGATATTCTGTTTCAAAATTGACCTCAAAGGGGTTTTTTCCTCAAATCTTCAACAGTTATAAATTTTTACGATAGAATTTAACTTCAGTCCTACTTTAAAAGTCAATATATGTTACTAATTAAGCCAATTTAGGCTTCAAACTCTATGCGACGATCGGGGTGGCGGTTGTTATGCCCTGCGGGGTGGCAGCATGTCCGAGAAATAAGGATTATATTTTCATTCAGCGTTCTCCTGGCCCCCTTGCGAGACAAAAAAGATTCAGATCACTTAGAGAAATTTAGATTATGGCATGGCATGATGTTATAAATGTGGCTATGTCAAACTTTAAGAAGTTTATTTTTATAATTTAAAGTCCGAACTGAGCAAGAAATTAACACGTACTTTATCATGATCAGTGCGTATTGCTTTATACGTGCAGTTGCAACATTTAAGTTTTGAACAAAATTCCAAATAAAGCAGTATAAACCACTTTACATTATAAGAGAGAGGTATTTTTGTGGAGCGATTGTTTTGGGATTTTTACGATTTTTACCTATTGCACACATGATGAAAAAGTATAAATAATTTAGTAATTCATTTATGAAGAAAGATTTAATATAAGGGGGTGGGCAGGGGTTCTGTTCACACTGTGGTCCATAATTTTGCGACAAATTTTATCGGTTTCATTTCTTCAAAAGAAAACTCGAATTTATGTATTCTTTTAGGGATGATGGAGGGATGTCAATCTTGAAATATCACAAAGTCACTGTCCATTTCGGTTCTGGTTGTCCAGGCTAAGATTTGATAGTAGTGCATTGATTGGCTCATGATGTTTTTCCAGGAATATTTTCCAGCAAAGCTTGCTTCATTGAGAAATATCTGTAGATAATTTAAAAGATTGTATTTAAAAAAAATTGCCAGATGTCTTGTACAAAACGAGTGATCTGATTATATTGTTGGAGTGTTAATTATCTGATCTGCGATTGGCAAAAAGATATGACAAAAATAGTTAACTTCAAAGAATAATAAACACGAAAAGAAAATTTGGTAAAAAACGACTATGGTTTGTTTTATTGATGTGTTGTTACAACACTAGGTTAGTGAAAACTTAACAGTTGAATGGAACAGTTGAATGGAAATCATGTTATTTCAAATTATATTTATCCCTGAACATTTTTCTTGTCCCATGTTAAGGGGGGAGGGGGGGGGGCTCAAAGACGTTTTTACTCCAACACATACATAATTATGTATGTTACCGGTCTTGTAGAGTAGGCTTTCCCCCTAAACCCCCCCCCCCTCCAGGAAAACTGGCTCTTAAGTAGACTTTCCGGCGGAAAGCTGGCTCTAGAGTAGAATTTCCCCTAGGGAAATCCCACAGCAGCGTCAATTTTCGGGGAGGGGGGGTCCTAATCTGTATAGTAAATATAGAGTTTGATTTCCTCAGATTCAACCACCCCCCCCCCCCCCGATGAAATACTAGTATAATTTAAGGACAGACGATACAAACAAACCTAGAAAATTACAATTTATGTGCTACTGAAATCACTTTTTATTCGCTAGAGCTTTATTTTCGAGTAATTACGCGAGACAGTGTGTTCGCGAAAATTTGATTCTCGCGTATAATAGTATTCTATTTTTTTTGGTTACAGTGCATTCAAAGAAGGGTGAGTTGTGCATGGGGTTTTGAAAAAGAAAATGGTACTGAAAGAATATATATTGATCTATCCTAACACCTCCCCCAAGAAACGGGATTTAGCATTTGAATAATTTACTTCTTTTGCTTGTCTAATTTTTTTCCAGGTTTGAATTTTGTTCTCTTTCAATTAGCATCACTCCTTTCATTTTTTTCTTCTGAAGCTAATGTATGGTAAAGGTTTTGTCCATTATTGAGGGCCGTATTGGGATTACTTAAGGTGAAATTATTTTTTTGTTTTGCATTTAGTGGATGGGATACCCCCCTTCTCGCCCCAATTAAAAGATATAGGAATGGATAGCGATCATCTATGACAGATTTTCCAGTTTTTTGCCCATAATTAGTCAATTTTGGGGCTTTATAAAAATTGGCTAAGACTTATGCACCTAATTAATGCATTTTACAAGTCAACTTCTTGTAAAACGCATTAATTAAGTGCAGAAGGTTTGGCCAATTTTAGCATTTAGTGTGATACACATAAATCGACAATTTCAGTTAATTTCATATCTTTCGGCTATGAGCCTATGAACATATATGGCACGCCAAATACACAAAAATGAGATATACATAGTTTCACAATTGATAAGGTTATCGATTGTAAACTATAGTTAACAAACCGTAAACTATAGTTAACGATTCGTTAAGCATAGTAAACGATTCGTTAAGTATAGTTTTCATCTGTAAAACTATATTTAACGGTTGTTAACTATAGTTCACGAATGATAATCTAAGTTTATCTGTCTGTAATAAGCGTTAACAATAGATTTTGTTGATAAACATAGATTCACGTTTGTAAACTATAGTTTACAATCGTAAACTATAGTTAAGAGTTGTTAATCATAGTTTCACAAATCGTGAAACTATATTTATCAGATCGTTAACAGTAGTTAACGGTTTGTAAACTATAGATTACAAATCGTGAAACTGTATTTATCAGATAATCTGTTTTGCAATCGCAAATGATTGTTTTCGGTGTTTAGTATAGTTTACGGTTGCGAAACATAGATTATCGCGTTAACTACGGTTTACAGATGTAAAATATAGATTAACGTCGTTAACTACAGTTTACAGTCCGTAAACTATAGTTTACAAACGATAAACCTAGTTTATCGATTGTGAAACTATGTTTAACTCATTTTTATGAATTTGGCGTGCCATAAACGTATGTCCCGAATAAACAGATTATCACAATATGATAATGTAACAACAGTCACCCAGTTGTTGTTTTGTCAGTTTATAATTAGGGACAAATACAAAGATGTTTATATGTGCATAAAAATTGTGATTGAAAATATCTTGATTATTCTGCTTAACATGGACTTTTGTTCATTCAATGTACAATTGTATATAGCAATACGCACCACTACATTGTATGATTATAAAGTGTCTATTCCTTGTTCAGTTCGGACTTTAAATTATAAAAATAAACTTCTTAAAGTTTGACATAGCCACATTTATAACATCATGCCATGCCATAATCTAAATTTCTCTAAGTGATCTGAATCTTTTTTGTCTCGCAAGGGGGCCAGGAGAACGCTGAATGAAAATATAATCCTTATTTCTCGGACATGCTGCCACCCCGCAGGGCATAACAACCGCCACCCCGATCGTCGCATAGAGTTTGAAGCCTAAATTGGCTTAATTAGTAACATATATTGACTTTTAAAGTAGGACTGAAGTTAAATTCTATCGTACAACTTCATTACTGTTGAAGATGTGAGGAAAAAACCCCTTTGAGGTCAATTTTGAAACAGAATATCATGTCAGAAGTCGAAAACGTTGATACCCCGAAAAGTGAGGAGGAGTGTTTGAGAAAACGGAGCACTCTCAAAGGCTGCTTTAAACAGTCAGAGGTACGTTGATATTTGTTCTCTTCCGTAGCATACAATTTTCTGGTCTAAGACGTCTCAACATATGAAAAAAATTCAGGTAAACACACCTTGATGGTGTTTTTCTCGCTTCGGTGCCGCCACCCCGAGTCACGCCCCACCGCCACCCCGAATGCGGCGTTCTAACCGGTGGTAACGGCGAAAGCGCTTAGTGTAAAAAATTAAACGTAAACTTGTTTGTTTATCTTCGATTTAATTTTGATTTATAACTTAACCTATACCATGGACTTCTACAACATTTTCCCTATATATATATATATATATATATTAAATACGAGGGCTGTTCAATAAATAATGTCCTGAACTGTACGACATACATTACAGATATCATATAACATTAAACTTGAATTTCTATCATTATTGAATTTTAATGAATTTATAACAGTTTATGTGACCACTTTCCATCACATTGTTTTATCGTTAGAAGCTGGAAAACAAGGGCTATTCGAGACATTGCATTATAAATGAATGGTAAAGAATCAGTAAACGAGAGTGAAAATAAAAGCCTCATTATAGCTGCTGTAAAACTTGTTGAAAATCCCAAAGAAATATTCACTGAAACATGTGACATTTATAGCAACCAATACCTGTCTTATAGACAAATGAGCAGGTGGATTTCAATGATAAAAAAATATATAATGGCCATCAAAAATGGGTACCGTCCTTACCAACAAAAATTGTAACAACTTACGTACTATTCGTCAAATTTCAACAAATAATATTTGATAATGTATGATTGACTTTATGACACATAGCAAATGTTATAGACATCATATCGGGAGAAGTTTACACTGTTTTTAAGAAATGTTTGGTACTCAAAGGTCACCCTATATTTTAAAAAATGAATGAAAACGACAGCATGCACGAAACTCTTAACAATTATTTTAAAATATCAGTAATTGTAATTATCCACGTTTGTTTTATATTCAAACAGATATTGGAACATGAATCTATTGCTTAAAATCCTCAAAGCTAAATTTACCATAAGAGCAGAGGTATGCAAAAACTAAAGACAGATTTATATGCCATTTTCTTATATATTAGCGGAATTATTGTTCAATTTCGTATGCGGGAAGACAATTTAATTTCTGGAGGAGTCTAGAAAGCAATTTTTTGCAAAAAATGGAAAGGTTTATTAGACGAAGGACCCAGAATCAGGAATCCACGACAATGAATTCCTTCATGACAGCGTCCAAACCCGCACGCCCTGGAGAGTAAAGGGGTTTTCGGGATAAACAGAAAGTTAATGTTTGCTCACATTAACGATATTCGCCAGATCTTTCACCTTTTGAATTGTTTCTATTTCCAAACTTTAAAAAAACACCTTCCAGAAGGAAGAAACAAGTCCAGCAAATCATTGGATCTGCCATTTTCCAGTATACTAAGGGTCATACCCAAAAATGAGTTCTAAAAACAGAAGTTGGATAAAAAAAATGTTACGGACGTGTGTTTTAATTAAAAGAGATTGATAAGTAAAACCATGAAGACTTAATCATTGAAGAGAGTGTCTTTTGCTTCTTTCTGAGCACCGAGGACATTATTTATTAAACAGCCCTCGTAAATAAACTATAAAAACAAAGAGACTTGAGCAAGTCTACCCATTTGTAAGAAATGGCCAAATCTCAGCAATAGTTTTGATAGATAAGGGTTACCTTTTCCAGAATGCGCATGGTGACTATCATAAACCGACTCATACGTCTTATGAGCGTCGTTTATTTAACCTAGATTATGTATGAGTGCCTCCTTTTTATCATATCCCATATGATAGAAGTAAACGATATTTTAGGGGTTTAATGTATATAATGTTGTTAATATATTCTACTTTTATCCTATTGTAAGCGATATTTTATATCTAATTGCTTAGCTAAGGACACACCTCTTCCCAAGCTTGCTTTCACTGGGCAATAGAACAATTAAACATCATTTTTACCATCTCCCTTCATTCATTAAAACAACTAATCCAATCAATATCTTAACATCTGACAAGTCTTTTGTCTTCATAAACCGTGTACAAATTAATAATACTTCTGCATAGGAATTTCCAAGATATACGTTTAACTTTACGGCCGTTCGTTGCTCGAATACGACTGATTCAACCATTTTTGTCACAAGTTATTAGCTCACCTGAGCCGAAAGCTCAAGTGATCTTTTCTGATAACATTTTGTTTGTCGTCCGTCCGTCTATCTAGCTGTCTGTCTAGCTGTCCGTCCGTCTGTAAACTTTTCAAATTTTCGACTTCTTCTCAAGAACTATTGGGCCAATATTAATGTTAACCAAACTTGGTACAAAGCATACTTGTCATTAAAAACTCTTCTTCTTCTCAAGAATCACTTGCCCAGAAAAGCTGAAACTTATGTGGAAGCATCATATGGTAGTGTACATTCTAAATTGTAAAAATCATGACCCCTCGGGGGTAGGGCGAAACCACAAAAGGGAATCAAAAGTATTACATAGAAATAAATAGAAAAAATCTTTTGAAGTCTTCTTCTCAAGAACCACTGGGTCAGAAAAGCTGAAACTTATGCGAAAGCATCCTCGGGTAATGTAGAGTTTAAATTTTCCAAATTATGACCCGTGGGGTAGGGCGGGGTCACAATAAGTATAATTAGGTGGAATCTGGTAAAGAACAACATGGTCAAAGCTACGCAGATGAGCGATGTGGCCAAGGGGCCTCTTGTCTACATGTCATTTTCACATTGTAACGTCACAAACACGGAGCAAAACATATCATTACATATGCTATTTATGGAACATGTATCATGACACCGTGTGCGCGAAATCTCATTGTGATTTATTCTTCTTTGTGGTTTTGTAAATATAGAGATAGAATATAGAATTTGTGATCACCCATCGTACAGACTGAATAAATTAAACTGCGAGACAAGTTTTGGACACAGAATTTGAATAATGCCAATATTTTTCTTTCCATTAATTATTTCGAGCATGTGCTTTTATGGATCAATTTCTAATTTTTAAGGTAATTTGGTTTTGTTCGGCATTTATCATCTTATATACAGTAAAATTCATTTAGTGTGAACACGGATATAGCAAAGTTATGGATATAGCGAAGATTTTTGCAATCCCTAGCTAAATTTTTCACAAATCCTTCTACAAATTTTACGCATATGTTTTTGGATATATAGAATTTCCTGTCATGGCGATCAAATTTTGTAGTCCTCATCAATATATAAAAAAACATATTTTAAAGCGAATTCTGGAAGATTATTTTTTTTTTTTTTTTGAAAACATGAAACTGACATAAATTTTGTTAGTACATGTATTTAAATTTGAAATTCTTGTTTTTTTTTTTCGAAAACGTTTGCTCCCCCCCCCCCTTCCCCCGGTAATTTTTGTATTTTATTCATCCCTGAATATATGTTTTGTATTCATATTTGATAAAATTGAGAATTAGCTATAAATACTTTAAGAAATTTTTCATACAAATATACTAGTAACGCATTACGAATATAGCAGAGTATATTGTTTTCGAATTAACCAAATGTGACAGAATTATATTCATTACAGCGACATCAAGAGGTCAACAAGGATTGAAATATGGAAGTCCCAGTCTGTTTAGATACCCATATAACCATATAAAAAGCTAGTTTTTTTTATTTAAAAATGATTTCAAATGATAATATAATAAATATCAAACATAAGTGTATAAACGTGTATTGTAGGATGGAATGGAAATAACTGTGATCAGGACATCAATGAATGTGCTGTTTCAGTATTTTGTGGACACGGTACCTGTACAAATACAGCTGGTAGTTTCCTTTGTACCTGTCCTTCCTCTGTTTATGGTCTGCGGTGTCAGCTTGATGAGGATGAATGTCTTCTGGAGCCTTGTAATGGAGGAGAGTGTGTCAACAAGATCGGGAGTTACTCGTGTCTGTGTAAAACTGGAACAACTGGTAAAAACTGTGAATCGTTGACTGCTCACCAATGTCATGGTGATACGTGTAAAAAGCATGGGCATTGTCATGTTCAGCATGGTAAAGCTGTGTGTACGTGTAACAATGGATATACCGGCCCTGATTGTTCCATAAAAAATTCGTGTGCTAACAACCAGTGTCAAAATGGTGCTACATGTGTGATATCTGGAACAAATTACACGTGTCACTGTGCTAAAGGCTTCATGGGGGAACTTTGTGATAAAGTAAATTATTGTGCAATTGATCCTTGCAAAAATTCTGGATATTGTATAAATACCGCGTCTGGATATAATTGTTCATGCAATGATCATTTTATGGGACAAAACTGTAGCACGTACGATTACTGTTTTCGACAGAACTGTAATAATCGTGGACAATGTCAAAACAGGCCAAACGGTTATTCATGTCAGTGTAGGTCTCAGTATCTTGGTAAGAATTGTGAGCTGAATAATCATTGTTATAACAATCCATGTCAACACGGAAACTGTTCAAATACATATACCAGCTATACATGTCACTGTTTATTTGGTTTTACTGGAGATCTTTGTGACAAACGTGATTATTGTGCTAGTAATCCCTGCAAAAATTCAGGGCTGTGTAGTAATACTGATTCTGGATATAACTGTTCTTGTATTGGTTCTTTTTATGGAGAACAATGCAGCAAATATGACTATTGTTTCAATCAAACATGTAATGGCCATGGAACCTGTCGTAAATTAATAATACCATCCAATGGGCAGAACTACTATTTGTGTGAATGTGATGCTGGATGGACTGGCTCAGAATGCCAGTATTATAATAACTGCCATAATATATCTTGTTCTAATCATGGAACATGTTTTAACAGTGGCACTGATTTTCTGTGTGTATGTGATCCTGGATTTTCTGGAAGAATGTGTGACTTAACTCAGCACTGTAAATCATCGTCTTGTGATGCCCCTCGAGTATGTATGGAAAATAAAATGGGATATTCTTGTGAATGCCCATTTGGGGTGGCAGGAAGCAACTGTGATAGAATTGACCACTGCCTGAAAAAACCATGTGGGTATCATGGTACATGTAAAGACACAGACATCGGATATAACTGTTCTTGTTACACTGGGTGGACAGGTGCTTCATGCGATGAGATAGATCATTGTGCAAATATTTCATGTCAGAATGGTGCGATTTGCAAGAACAGTTTACTCAACTACACTTGCTCTTGTAAAGACGGATTTTATGGTCAATTTTGTGAAACCACAGATTATTGTTACACTAATCCGTGCATTAATAATGGCACATGTCACAATCAGGCTAACTCATTTACCTGTTCGTGTCCTAGTGCGTGGACAGGGCAGCTTTGTGAGAAGGAAAATCTGTGTTTCACTTCTCAACCTTGTGGACAACATGGTCATTGTTTACAAGTTGATATGCAAGTGCATTGTTCATGTTTTGCTGGCTGGATAGGAGAAAATTGCACAATTAGGGATTACTGTTATAAGTCTTCTTGTGGCTCTATGGGAACTTGTCAGAGCTTAGCAGATTCTTATGTTTGTAAATGCCACCCAGAATGGACGGGGAATTACTGTGAAACGTATGCTTGTGAAAACAACACCTGTCTACACGGAAGTTGTCACGCCGCTAAAGATTATCTTTATTCCTGTGATTGTGATCCTGAATGGATTGGAGATGATTGTGATGTGGTGAATCCATGTAACTCCACGTTATGTGAAAACGGTGGAAAGTGTATGGCCCATTTATTTAATCCACAATTAAATTCAACTGCAATAACAAACGCAACAGCATCATGCAGATGTGCAAATGGATGGGAAGGTGAATATTGCACAGTTGATGTTGATGAGTGTCAACAAAAACATCCTTGCCATGGACATGGCTCTTGTTTAAATAGTGCTGGTTCTTTTACGTGCAATTGTGATCAAGGCTTCACTGGCATCGATTGTGATGTAGATATTAACGAATGTGCGTCTACTCCATGCCATAACAATGCAACCTGCGCAGATGGTGTTGACAGTTTTGCGTGCTCATGTTCTTCGTTTTACCATGGTGAACTGTGTGACAAAGATATTGATGAATGTCAGTATTTTGTTTGTGGTTCTCATGGGACTTGTATTAACAAGTATGGAGATTATAAGTGTGTGTGCGCACCAACCTGGACAGGACGTCATTGTGAAAATCATATCAATTCTTGTTCTCTTGACCCTTGTAAAAATAATGCAACATGTCATGATGTAGGCGATTTATTCTTCTGCACATGTGACAATCGATTTACTGGGCAGCATTGCGATATTGATGTGAACGAATGCATAACTAGATCTCTCTGCAAAAATGGCGCATTTTGTGCAAATACATATGGGTCATTTTATTGTTCCTGTCCAGAAGGCTGGAGTGGGGAATTTTGTGAAGAAGACATAGATGAATGTCAAAACAATGTTTCTTGTCCAAAAAACACTACATGTGTTAACAAGTTAAACGGATTTGAATGTCATGATTGCTCTACTTTTCATTGTCTAAACGGTGGAAAATGTCTTGATACAGAGTTGGGACCAGTCTGTAATTGCACAGAAGACTGGACAGGTACTCAGTGCAATGAAATCAATTTTTGCAAAGACGACCCCTGTGGGGCACTTCAGATCTGCATCAATGAAAAAAGTACCTTCACTTGTGAATATCACTCCTGCAAGAGTTCTCCATGTCAAAATAGTGGCAAATGCATTGAAAGGGGCCTTGAATATCACTGTGAATGCAAATCTGGCTGGAAAGGAAAATTATGTGAGGAAAAAGATTATTGTGCAGTAAATGTTTGTGAAAATAATGGAACTTGTCATAGTGGGTATTCTTCTTTCTTATGCGTTTGCTCCAAAGAATGGTATGGAAAACGTTGCGAACTCCATAACTTTTGCGTGGACCATCCTTGTAAAAACGGTGGGCTTTGTCAAAATTTGTTAGATACATATTTTTGCAATTGTCCACAGGGATGGATTGGTAAGGATTGTAATATTTATAATCACTGTGTAAATTTACCATGCAGAAATGATGGTATCTGCATCAACAAAAATACATCCTACACTTGTGATTGTCCAGATGAATGGAAGGGAGAGAACTGCGAGGAATACAATTACTGTTCAAGTTCCCCCTGCCACAACAATGGAACTTGTCGTAGTGGAAAAGATTCTTTTTCTTGTTCATGCTTACCAGGCTATTTAGATAAAACTTGTGACGTATTCGATCAGTGTCTTTCAGCACCATGTCAAAAAAATGGGACCTGTATCATGAATCAGACTAATTATGAATGCCGATGTCATGGCGGATACATCGGAAAGCAATGTGAAAAGGATCTAGACGAGTGTAAAATGAATCTTTGTCCGGCAAAGTCGACCTGTTTTAATCAAGACGGTGGATATTTGTGCTTATGGGAGAGGAGACTCAAGAGGGCATACATTTCAAAGGGTGAACTAAAATCTTAATTACCTTTCAGAAGTATTTTGGGGGCTAGAAAAGTATTTTGAAAATCCTTTTATAGCAACTGAGTTAAATAGAAGAGTTTTTACAAATTGATTTCTTTCTTAAAGATATTTATTAAAGTTTATTACTTTTGGTTTATTTCTAAAGAATTGAAATATGGTGTCCTGGAACTGCAGTATGCTATAGACAAGAGTGAGGTACATAGAAACATAGTCCATGCTGAACAACTAGTAGAAGAAAAGTTCTGTCAAACGAGGCTATCGTTGTTCCAGCCGACATCATTGGTATCAGAAGGGTAATCTAAAATTTATGACATTAAATTCAAGGCAAAATTTTGACGGATTGAAAAATTCTTCAGCATTTTTGTATGGAAATACAATGTAGTTAAACAGTAGTAGCGGTTTTCTGACTAACCCCTCTTCCCTTACTTGGATTATGCACGGGGTAAGTCCCCACCTATAGTGAGGGCACGAAATAATACATGTGTCTCACCCGCTTATTTTAGTATGCCCACAGACACCTCACGTTTATATTTTTCTTGCAAAAAAAAATAATAACCCATAGGTTTTTTATCTTCTTATGCGTAAAATATGTAATGTCAGGTGCCTGTGGGTTTGTCATAACCGTTATCAAGATTCTTCTGTATTTTGTAGGTTGCTGTTTTTATTTTTCTACCTTTTCCTATCATTTCTATATATTTTCCATATCTGTTTAGTACTTTACTATGAATTATCAGTATGTCAATGTTTTAAACCAGTGTCAAAAAATAATTAGTAAATGTAAATAATTTCATTTATTTTATTATTTTTTAATTTCAGGAACAGAAAAATGTACCTCCATTTTAACTACCTGTGCAAAGGGGTAGAGGACTACTTCTGATGATGTTTATGCGACCACCCAATTGAATTAATACTAGTTCTCAAATTTATATATTTACCTTTTTATTGTGTTAAATATATTGAACTACTAGGTAAACTGATTTATTGATGATTCATTGGAGAATTATTGATTTTCATTTAATAAATTTACATGGGATGCATCATTGTGTATTTTGATATTTTGGAGTAAATTATGAAATTTCAGGCAGTGCAAAATAAACATGAATCATTTGAAAATTTCAATTCCTTTACTTTTTAGCTCACCTGAGCCGACGGTTCAAGTGAGCTTTTCTGATCACATTTTGTCCGTCGTCCATCCGTCCGTCTGTTAACTTTTCACATTTTTTACTTCTTCTCAAGAACCACTGGGCCAATTTTAACCTAACTTGATACAAAGCATTCTTAGGTAAAGGGAAATTTAAATTGTGAAAAATAAAGGACCAAGAACCCTCACAAGGGGAGATAATCAAGAAAATACAAAAATGGGGTGGGGTCATTAAAAAATCTTCTTCTCAAGAATCGCTGGGCCAGAAAAGCTGAAACTTATGTGGAAGAATCCTAGGGTACTGTTGAGTTTAAATTTTTCAGATCATAACCCCCGGGGGTTGGGCGGGGCCACAATAGGGAATCCAATTTTTACATAGAAATATATAAGAAAAAGCTTTAAAAATCTTCTTCTTAAGAACCACTGGGCCAGAAAAGCTGAAACTTTTGTAAAAGCATCCTCGGGTAGCGTAGATTCTAAATTTGTTCACATCATGACCCCTGGGGGATGGGCGGAGCCACAATAGGGAATCCAAGTTTTAAATAGAAATATATAGGTACAAACTTTAAAAATCTTCTTCTTAAGAATCACTGGGCCATAAAAACTGAAACTTATGTGGAAGCATTCAGGGGTAGTGCATATTCTAAATTCATCAAATGATGACCCCCGGGGGTTGGGCGGGGCCATATTAGGGAATCCAAGTTTTACATAGAAATATATAAGAAAAAAACTTTTAAAATCTTCTTCTCGAGAACCACTGGGCCATAAAAGCTGAAACTTATGTGGAAGCATCCTCGGGTTGTGTAGATTCTAAATTGTTCAAATCATGATCCCCGGGGGTTGGGCGGGGCAACAATAGGGAATCAAAGTTTTACATAGAAATGAATAGAACAAACTTTAAAAAACCTTCTTTTGAAGAATCACTGGGCCATAAAAGCTGAAACTTATGTGGGAGCATCCTCGGGTTGTGTAGATTCTCAATTGTTCAAATCATGACCCCTGGGGGATAGGTATTAGAAGGGGGAAAATGGGCAAAGATCGGCATCACCAATGCTACTCAGGTCAGCGATGTGGCCCATGGGCCTCTTGTATTATTGTGTTAAGACCATATGGAAAAATTTTGAACCTACCAAATCATAACAGACAACTTGATGATATTTTGGTAGATTGTATTGGAAAAGGTAAATACAGTAATGCGGGATGTTTATTATCTGCTTAGGACATTGAAGCATCACTAGATATCAGTTGGAGGAGAGATGGGATAAACTACAACTCAATCTGTTGCCAAACAACAATGAGACATGTAGATATAGAAAAAAAGTACAAATTCTGAATAGCCGCAAAAACATGCACAGCATCTGATCATGATTCAAAAAGGCCAGATACCGACCCAGGGTAAAAATTTAAAAAGAAGATACTGAAGAGAGAACGTTTTTCCACAAAGGAACAGGATTAATGCCACAGACTTTGAATGTTGCACAGGAAAAGCCGCCGCTTATTTTCCTCATTTGCATCTTTATATGAAGTATGGAGATAACAAACAGTATACTTACTTAAGCCTGCAACTTTCTAATTAAAACACAGGTCCCTAACATTTTTATCCATTTTCTGATTGTTTAAAGAACATTATTTCGTGTGGAACTTAGGCCATCCAATGAACTGTGCTTTTAGTTCTGACTCACGTCTCCTGTAGATGCATCTTAGGCGTTCTCTCTTTCTTTTGACCTATATTGGTTTAAACTTAGGGTCTGGCCTAGCTGGGGGCCATAAAACTGAGACTAGCTCACTTTTGATCTCAGTCTCACTTTTCACTATATATTCCTTCGGAAAAAGTAAAACTGAGATCAAAAGTGAGTTGTCTAAGTTTTATGGCCCCATGCCTGGTGTACGATGCTGGATGATGACACTTCCTTATAGCGTTTGTCCAATCCAGCCCCACTTTCTCTGTCTTATTTGAACGTCCATTGGTTCCTGTTCTGCTCTCGTAGCTTTCACCGTTGGAGATCCTTTTAGGTCATCGGATGTTTGAGATGTGCCTGAGATAGTTGTTGTAAGATGTCTGGATCTTCAGCAGACTTCACGTGTCTGCACCATACAATAAGACGGGCTTTACAATTAGAGTTAAGGATCTGCAGTTTGGTGGCAATGCAGATGTTCTTTAACATGGTAATTACGTTGTGCCTCCAGGGATAGCATCAGACCTACACCTTCGGAGAGATGGCTCCCTTCGCGGTGTGTCCTGAATACAACGATGTTCCCCCAGTAGTCAGCCTCAGCTGTTCCTGTCCGAGGCTGAAGCCACCTCGTCTCGCTCAGTCCTAGGAGACAGATGCTGTATATAGTGCTTCATATCCTTTGCTGACTGTGCTGTTCTTCCTGCTTCATACATTGTTCTGATGTTCCAAGTGGCAAATCCGATGGTTTTCCTGGGTGTCAGAAAAGGAGTCAGCTCTGCCGTTTTCTTTCGGCTTTCATTACAAAGCATCATATTCATGCCCTGTTCACACGGAGAATTTAATTAATGCGAAGTAAACTTACACAAAGTCTGAAAATAATAATTAAATTGCGAACACACGACAGCTAATGCGAAGTAAACTAATGACCAATTAAAATTTTTTTTGTAGCAATTTAATCAATTTGTAATTTACCGTAAGATACTGTATTTATTAATAAATCAATTAAGTTGGATATACAATAGTATTTGACATAATGGCAAAGTGTCTGTTTTTTTAATTTTAACACAATTTTTTTTTTTCCCAAAAATAGCATAAGTTACCTATAGCTGAACACCGACAAGTGGCATTTGACTTTGAATTTTGCCATTACGCACGCGTCAAACTTTAATTCGAATTAGCTTACGCTTTAGCGTTCACCGCGAAGCGGATTATAAAAAAGCGTAAATTCAATGCGCAGTAAACTAATTCGCATTAAATTCTCCGTGTGAACGCTAAGCGAAATAATTCTTATAACTTTAATTTTAAAATAATTAAACTCTTTTGTGAAAAATTGTGTTGCTTTTTATAGGTTCAAATTTACCACCCAAAACCATGCACTAGTAACGGAAGGGATTTTGAAAGAAACTTTACACAAAGTCTGAAAATAATAAGCTTATTTAGCAGCCATGATGTTTGTTTACATGAGGTAAGAACGAGTAATTGATTAAAGTTGAAGGTACATTTTTATTAAATTCAATCAATTTTCAATTTGGATTCCGAGATACTGGAAATTAATTAATAAATCATGATTAAGCTGGATATACAATAGTATGTTATAATAAATTTTCAAAATGTTATGCGTTGAATTTTAAATGGTAATCAATTTTTGAGAGGCAATACAAATAAAATTAAATTACTTACGATTAACATCGGAATAACTTGGGTTGCTTTTCTAGGTTTTGTTTCATATAAAAATGGCGACTCCAACCCGGAGGCCGCGGAATTTAAATTCGTCTTTAACTCCTCGAAAGTATCATCCTTATTCAAAGGTAAAATAAGTAATTCAATTCTCCTTATTTTATGTGGATAGTTTCACTCTAAAACAGGGAAGTTCGTGGCCCTCTTCAAAGGAAAATGTTCAAGTTCAAGACAAACCAAACACTCAGAAACAGCTGTTTATGAAATAAGATCTTCCTCTGATAATCCCTTAGAGAATATGAAAAAACTTATGACAAAGCAGTACTCAAAATTTTACAGAAGAATTAATTTTTCCTCAAAGTTTGAATTTTGATTTGTCTTGTTACACTAGTTTGTAGGTTAACAGGTTAACAATAACGTTTCATTTTTATTATTTCAGCAAATACGTAAAGGGGTAAATGAGACATTTGACAGAGTGTATGCCTGTGTTTATGGCCATTGTGTTGGAGATGCTATTGGATTGCTGACAGAAACTTTTTCAAAAACAGAGGCTAAAAAGGTGTTGTTATCAGTTATCTTAATCTCTGTGGAGATTCTGCTGGGCTAGATATTTGGACTGACGCCCACTGAATCTTATTTCTAGCATCTTTATTATTATAACATTAACAAGGACATGTGTATCATACATCAATTATGATAATATTGTGAACAGGTGAAGAAACAGGTAGAGTTTGAAATATACTGTAATTGTATTATATTTGGCGTTTATGATATTTGGCGGAAATTAATTTTGAACAAGTTAGCGGCGATTTAGCGCATTCTTGAAGTTACAAATTTATGAGTACCGTATAATCCCTATTAAGGACAGACGAGACGTTCCTTAATAATCTAGATAAATTTTTCAAAGATTTTGTCATTGAAGTATTGCTACTTAAACATGTTTACTCACAAAAAATTTAACCATCCAGGGATAGTTTTCCTTATATAATCCTTTTTGGAAGAAAAATAATTTTCCAATTTTAAATGTTTAAGTGTTTGGATTTTTTAAAGATGTTTTGAAACTGGTTTAGAAATCAGAATGTTATTAAAATTTTGAATATTTTTCATACATTACGAAGATATACAAAACAGATATTGAGGAACATCTCGTCTGACCTTAACCAGTCCAGTCCAATACGAAAAATCGTAATGTTACGAAATATAGTAATATTACAAGAAATCGTAATATTATTCTTATATTACTATTTTTCGCAATATAGTTAAATTACGGAAACTCGTAATATAGCAAGTTGAGAGAGACTATATTACAAGTTTTCGTAATGCAAGACAAAATAAAGCATTGAAAGAAACTGAATGATGTTTATGGAAGTATGATGTCAGAAATACATTATGCACACAAATTAGTATCACGTGGTCATTTTGGTCAGTGATTCGAAAAATGGAAATTTTACAATGGTAATGGGTGAGTGAACATTTTGTTTTATTATTCTTATATAAGAATTTTCCCAAGGACAATTTTCATAAAATTTTGTTCCTCAAGCTTGTCACAATGGTCTATAACTTTTTATTTTTCCCGAAGTCTACGAAAATCAGACCCTCATCTCAAACAACGAGATGTTACGAGAGATAACTTGTAAGACTCTCACTAGGCTCTGAATCCGCCTGCACTTGGATCAAATGCACCAAAACAAAGAAAATGCACTAACCATACATATCCACGGGGAGACCAATAATCTCTGATGAAACATAACAAAGAGGTTGAATCAGAAAAAAGGGAATTAACTCTTAGAATAGTTAGAAATTGCTTATATTACAAATTTTAGGGATATTACGGTATATGTTAACTGCCCCGGGCAAGAAAATTGCAAAAATTTATTCTCTTTATTATGATATTTAATGTCATATTTTACCTTCAAAAAATCTTTTGAAAAAAAAAATAGATACAAGGAACCAATAAAACAATGTGTAACTTTACTTAAATTAGGTGAAGATAATCCATCCAAAATATGCTAAATTATTCATTTTACACTGAGAAATTTGATAATAGACACATTTCATTTTCACTTTCTTCAATTTTTTGATACGATTCAATTTTTGAATGCAGAAAAACTGCAGAGGTAACTTAGTCATAATTCACAAAATACAATCATGTTCAGGTTTGGAAATTTGAGTGAAATGCACAAAATTTTTATTTGCTATTGATGTGGATCAAATTATAGTTCTGAATTAAGAAAAAGATCAATTTTATTCATCTTAAGTATTTATTTCTTGTCTAAGGGCCTGGGCCCCATTCCCAAAAGTGTGTGGAAAATCCCTGGCCAAAGACACTAAAAAGAATACACAGCCAAATGTAATGGTAATACGTTTACAGTAATACTCTGAGGCACACAATTTTTATTTGCTATTGATGTGGAATTAATTTGGTTTTAGAAAGAAATACTATGCCAATTATTCCAACTTCCTTCTAAAAAAACCATGTGTGATTTCATGTTTTATTCAAATTTAATCTTAATTCATTACAAAATCTATAAATACTACTAAATCTGATAATACAGTAGTGTACTATTTTCGTATATGTCTTCTGTCTTGTAAAAGAATGCTTGTTTATCCAGAGGTACAGAGAAGTGTACAAAAGTTTAGAGCTCATCCACAAAAAGATTGTCCCTGATGCACACAGACGGAAATGGCTGATAGGAGAGTGGACCGATGAGTCGGACATGATGATTCTTATACTTCAGACAATTGTCATGAACAAAGGAGAGGTAAGAATTGTAACAGAAAGAAGCACTGTACTTGACTGTAGTCAAGGGGAAACAAGAAATTTTTCTTGGAAAATACATACTTCATCAACATGGAATCATGAAAATTCATTGTTTATATTCTTTTGATTTATGGTAATAAACAGTGAAGTAAAGATTTTTCTTGGAAAATACATACTTTATCAACATGGAATCATGAAAATTCATTGTTTATATTCTTTTGATTTATATTGCATGTAATAACCACAGTGACAAATGAATGCCTATTATTTTGATAGTTGTGACTTGTCTTATAGAGTGAGCTTTTATAAATACATTATTTTTAGGTGAATGCCCATTATTTTGCCCGTTGCTTGATGGAGTGGGCAGAGAAGGGCTTTCCAGAACTGGATGATATTTGTGGTAATGGCTTATGTCCACAAATAAAGGCAGTCATCTCTCACCCACAGTTTTCTGAGGAGCCAGAAAAGGTTAACAAGTTCATGGGCTTCTTAACACATGCATAAAAATTGTAATGCATATGGCTAAAATAATTACTGATTATAGATAGAAGAAGTCAATTTTTGTTGGATAAAATAACATCTAATGCAAATCATTTAAAAGATTAATATTATAAAAATTGGGTAAAAATGCAGCCAAATTAAACATTCTTTCTAGACATGTTGGATCTATATTTTTAGGCCTCTGAGATTATGTGGCGAGACTCTGGGAAACTGAATGCCACCAACAGTGCTTTGTCACGGACGGCCATCTTAGGAACTCTTCAGTACCACACAATCGGAACTGTGATAAAAAATACACTAGACATCTGTAATATCACACACCCAGATCCAAGGTACATTTATATTGTCAAATTGGTGACCATTCAAGTCTATTTGTGTGGGAAGAGAATTGTATGTTTGTCTCACACATCTCCATATTTAATTTATACTTAGGTGAGATACTTCCTGTACATATATATGGAATCAATAAAACCCCCTTGTGCATGACCTTGAGAGTAAGGTCACAAAGAAATACAGTTATAACAGATGTATTTATGTGTTGTGTGTTACGGTAATAATTTAATACTTTTTTTCATTTTAAATTGACGTTTTTCAGGTGTCGGGCGTCTTGTGTTGCATTGACGACAACAATAGCCCTCCTTCTTCAGAGAAATGACCGACAAATCAAGAAGAGCGGCAGTTATGACATTGAGGCTGTGGTGGACGAGTCGTTTACTTACGCTTCTAAACTACTAGTAACTTATGAAGAGGTATATCTGAAAGAACTTTTACTTACACTTCTAAATTATTTATAACTAAAGTTTTAGTCATTGCAAAAACATGGATATTTTCCAAGATGCATTATCGTAGTCATCCTAGGGGGGTGGGGTGGAAAAAAAGGGGGCAACCCCCCACCCCCCTGCATACTACGTGCCTGCAGTCTGCAATAATTGAACATTTTCAGGTAAAGGAGTTGAAGAGAGCTATGCATCCTAGTAATCTGAAGGACCTGAGATTAGATGAACCGGGGAAGACGAATTACACGTATAAAACCCTGGGCGCTGGCTTCTGGGCACTGAGACAGAAAAACTTCCGAGAGGCCATACAGGATATTGTCTTAGAGGTGCCAAGCCTCAATTTCAATGCATTAAATTTATGGTTTCTGAAGTGTAACTTTTACAAAAACAAGTCAAATAAATTTTGCACTAACATTTTAAGAAACTATGATTTGTAGGGTAAGATTTAATGAAAGGTAATCAGTACAATGTGCTTATTTTTGTTTAATTCTTTGCTGATAATTATTTAACACTAGTAATCATTTTGAATGTTGTAGGGTATTGTTCTACTGCCAAATACAAACAAAGTCTTGAAAATAATGCTGCAAGTCTATTTAAAATTTGATTTCATTATTTTTTTTTAAAGGGAGGTGACTCTGATGCTAATGCTGCAGTAGGTGGCGCTTTATTGGGCTGTAAGCTAGGGCTGAGTGCTATCCCCAGGTCCTGGAGAGAAAATCTCATTCACAGAGAATGGCTAGACATCTTACTAGACAGGTAAACCTTCTGATCTGGCCCAATGACCATAAACTGAGAAAAGACTTAAGTCAAAATTTTAATTCAATATAACTTTTGAAAAAACAAATGATAAGGCTATCTAAATTTAATTCCCTGGTTCTCAGGCCAATTTTCTCCAAAACAGATGCGGGAGGGCGGCATTTTATTTTTCATTTTATTGGCAATGAAGTAGATGAGGGAGGTTTTTTTTTTTATTTTAATTTCCGAATTTTCTTTAACATAAAGATAATTTTTTAATCACAGATATACTTTCCAATTCTGATCAAAATTTCTGCTTTATCCATTGCTTAACAGCGTGTAAACATCGTAGGTAATGTCCTCGAATGTATTTTCAAATGAAGTAGCCAAAATCTCATTGTAAATAGCTACCGGAAGTGATATTTGAATACTAAACTACAAAACAAATGAGGTCGGAATTTTTTTTCCCGGATTGGTCTCCGCAATACCAACTTTTTATTTTATCAAAAATACACTAAAATCGGCAATGTGGCTACCTCAAAACGGATGCGCGCGGGCCTGAGAACCAAGATTTCAATTTTATATGGCCTAATAAAACTGAATTTGCATCATTTGTTGGAATTTGAATATTATACAATTATGCAAAATTTTCTGAACATATGTTAAATAAAGCTAAGGATATTCAGAATCAAAATTTTTACTTTAGTCGGTTCTCAGTTTATGGCCTTGAGGTCTATTCACAATTCATACACATATCATCATAATACATGTACAATGTATTATATCTATGTTATATAATATGTATGGTGATATTCATTGGATAAACTCCAATATCATCATTAAATGTATTCACCATACATGTACAGTTGTATTATTATATCTCTATCTTAAATATGTATACCTAGATGGATAAACTTAAATTAATGTCATACTGTAAAACGAGAAAATTTGGCGCATACGTAATTTAGCGCAAACACAAGTGGGAATGCATTGATGCAATTACCGTAAATTTTAAATTATATGAATGTGATATTTTTTTTATCCAGGCTCGTATTTGACTTTTTGGTTTGTCAAGCACAGAAACATAACATAGCACTCCCGTATATCAGTAAATATTCGTCAACTTTACCATGGTGTTGCAATCCCATGGACATGGCACAGTACATGTTAAATTTTATCTTGATTTCATTTTAAATGAAAGAAGTGGAGTATTTATGCATTTTATTCATATTAAAACAATGCATACTTCGAAAGAAAGTTACTTGGATAAACGGTAATCAGGTACTGTAAAATAACAGATTTTCATGGGTTCAGATTTTCGTGGTTTGAGTAAAAACTCCTGGTTCATGGGGATTTGAATTCGAGAATTGAGAATTGTTGAGTAGTTATGTATGTATTATTATACACTTTGTGGTGGACATGAATTTGTGGGTCTCTTCCTATCTTGAAAACAATGAAAATTAACCCCCACGAAAATTTGTGATTTCACAGTATTGTCTGAAAGCTCAATCACCATGCTTGATTGCTTTGTTTACCTGGAGGCGATAGATTATTGGCACGCCGAGAAGCCAAACTTTGAAGATGCTTAAGATAAGTATCAAGTAACAATAACAATAGTTTAATTGAATTATAATTTGGCAGAACTTTCTCGATCGATCCTACAATGTACACTGATAGTGTGTATATAAAATCCAACTACCCTTCAACATTACGTAATTTCGCGTTCCGATTTACATGTACTTATGTTAAAGCTTTGAACACACGCATACAAAATAATATTTAGAAATCTGTTAGCTCACAATAAATTTTAGCATTCAGGGGCTCTTGTGCCAAAGGTGCTAAAATAATCAGTGCACCAAATATTCTCGTTTTACAGTAATTAAATGTATTCATACATATTCTAATACATGTATTATTATTTATATATCAATGATAATTATGTACAGTTAGATGCATTACAAAAATTAATATAAATTTGATTCCTAGTGTTATTTGATTTATTAAATGTATACCTTACCTTTGAAATTGAGCTGCAATCACTGTATCAAGATGTAGAGTTGTGCTTTCATTCTGTCTTAATTTTATTCATTGTTGGCATTCTGTTTTGCAGATATTTTGACATACATGAGGGAAGACATATCAAGAAAGAAACGACCCTGTGATAACGTACAGACCCTGTGTGATATTAGACAGATAATTAGTATCAGCTATATACATGTATTTGGTGCAATATACAATGTAAAGAGCAAACCTTTTTTTCTCCACATATTTTACTACATGTTTGAATGATACATAATTTTTATTGCATTAGAAATTACTGATTTGATATCAAGAGCTTTGAATTGTATTATATTAAATATAACTTTTTTTTAGACCAAATTATGAGTAGAGATGCTCTTTACATTCCTTTTATCTGTTATACAGCCTACTCCGGATATATTGAAATTCAGGGGACCATGCAAATTATTTCAGTATATCCGTAATTCAATATAAGCGAAATCGTGAAGCCACCATTTTTTTAAATTAAAAGTTCAATCTCGATCTTAAAATAAAGAACAAACCCGAACAAATTAATTTTGTCATTGTTTACCATAACAGTGTACAGATCACATGGAATATTAGTCCTTGAAAGTTTAATTGAAATTGTATCTTTGTAATTCTTTTTTATCGATAAGACAATCTTCAACTTCATTATTATTCCCCGATCACATTTATTTACATTTTGGAGAAAAATCACCGATGTCAATTTAGGTTTATCATTAGCCATTCACAGTAAGTATTTAATTTGAAAATTAAGTTTTTTCTAGATCTGTGGGGGTTTCTATGTTGCCTTTAGCCTAAATACTTCCGTATTATATACATGGAAACAAAGAATTTAACAGTGAAAAATTTTATTTCGTAAGAGCATGCAGTATTAAAAAAAACGTAAGGTGCACGTGAAAACTGAATTATTCACACCTTTTTTAGGTCACCTGTGTAAACTCAGGTGACCTATTGCTATCCGTTGTTGTCCGTCGTCGTGCGCTGTGCGCCGTGCGTTAACATTTAAACATTTTCAGCTTCTTCTCTGAAGCCGCTCAACCAATTTCAACCAAATTTGGCACAAAGCATCTATGGGTGAAGGGGAACAAAAATTGTGAATTTCATGGTCCCTGCCCCCCTGGGGCCTGAGGGGTGGGGCCAAAACCACTTAAATTAGTGCAATCTTTAAAAATCTTCTTCTTTACTCCTGGACATCAAGCAGTCAAACTGTTTGCATGATTGTAATCAGCATTGAGTCCTCTACCAAAATTGTGAAATTCATGGCCCTAGGGTTAGGGGTGCTAGTGCTAGGGCGGGGCTAAATATACTGTAAAGTGAAAATGCATTACTACTTTGGAGATCTTCTTCTCTGCTCCTGGGCATTAAATAAGCTAACCAAGTACATAATTATGTTGAATAAGATTGCCTTTTCAAATATTGTGAATTTCATGGCCCCAGGGTCAGGGGTTCTGGTGTAAGGGCGGGGCTCTATTGGTTATATAGTGAAAATGCATTAGTTCTTTGAAAATCTTCTTCTCTGGTCCTGGATATTAATCAAAGAAACAAAGTGCATAGTTATGATGACCGAGAATGCCTCTTCTAAAATTGTGAATTTCATAGCCCATGGGTGAGGGGTTCTGGTGTTAGGGCAGGGCTCTTTAATTGTTTATGTAGTGAAAATATATTAATTCTTTAAAAAATCTTCTTCTCTTCTCCTGGGTATGAAATAAACTAACCAAGTACATGGTAAAATTGAATAAATCTGCTTCTTCCAAAATTGTTAATTTCTTGGCCCCAGGGTCAGGGGTTCTGGTGTTAGGGGCTGGGGGCTCTGTTGATTATATAGTGAAAATGCATAAATTCTTTAAAATTCTTCTCCTATGCTTCTGGGTATAAAACCAATAAACTATGTACATAGTAATGATGAGGAAGGATGGTTCTTCCCAATTTTGTGAATTTTTTTACCCTTGGGTCAGGGGTTCTGGTTTTAGGGTGGGGCTCTATAATGATTATATTGTGAAAACACATGAATTCTTTGGAAAGTTTTCCTTTTCTCCTTGGTATAGTGCCAATGATCTAAGTATATATTTATGATGAAGAAATGTGCCTCTTCCAAAATGGTTAATTTCAGGGCCTCTATGTTAGGGGTACTGCAGAACGGGGGGGGGGGGGGGGGGGGGGGGGGGGGGGATATAGCCTGAAAATAAAGTAATACTTTGAAATCTGCTATTTGATATTAATCACCCATTTCTGATGACATGAAATTTATAAAATTCTAAAATTTTGAAATATGTGGCAATAGAAATGCATTTTCTCTCTATTTCTCTGATCTGCCTTTGGGTATTAAGTAACAAAAATAAGCATGCTAAGTGTATATTATTGATAAACAATGGTGCCTCTTTCAAAATTATGCATTTCAAGCTAGGCTTATGGTTTAAAAAAGTCAAACCAAATTCAGTTGTTGGAAAGTTTTACATGTTACTCAGGTGACCTATAAGGCCCGTGGGCCTCTTGTATATCAACTGGTCAGTCAGACATAATTTCTGTCACCAAACGTAACGACAGTGCCGCCAGGAAATACTTCAATATAACCGTTATGAAAACAACTCATTATCACCTGTGGGGACCGATTAGTGGCTTCAATATAAGCGAAATTTCAATATAGCCGATTTCAATATAACCGTTTATTTTAATGCAAAGAATATGAGAGTCAAAAACTGGGGATTTATTTTTATTTCAAAATAAGTGGAATTTCAAAATAAGCGAGTTCAATATAAGTGGAGTAAGCTGTATATTGTTTGTGCTGTCTTATGAAACAGTTCTGTTCTGTGATAAAGAGAAGTAAATAGGAGGACATTTTCCTTTTCAGTGATTTCATGTACACATTTAAACATGATTTGTTTGTGAGAAGTGTTCATTATAAGGTGTTGATCACTATATGAAATGTTTCAATGTTTAATACAATAGCCATTTGACATTGAATGTTGTTTCTATGATAAGGAATTGAACAGGTATAATCTTCATTGTTTCAGAGTTAATAGTTTTTAGCTCACCTGAGCGGAAGGCTCAAGTGAGCTTTTCTTATCACATTTTGTCCGTCGTCCATCCGTCTGTCTAGCTGTCTAGCTGTCTATCTGTCTGTCCATCTGTAAACTTTTCACATTTTTGACTTCTTCTCAAGAACGACTGGGCCAATTTTGATCAAACTTGGTACAAAGCATCCTTATATGAAGGGGAATTTAAATTATTAAAATGAATTGCCAAGTCCCCTCACAAGGGGAGATAATCAAGAAAAGACAAAAATAGGGTGGGGTCATTAAAAAATCTTCTTCTCAAGAACCACTAGGCCAGAACAGCTGAAACTTATATGGAAGCATCCTGGGGTAGTGTAGATTCTAAATTGTCAAAATCATGACCCCCGGGGATAGGGCGGGTCCACAATGGGGAATCAAAGTTTTACATAGAAATATATAGGAAAAAATCTTTGAGAATCTGCCTCTCAAGAACCACTGGGCCAGAAAAGCTGAAACCTATGTGGAAACATCCTAGGGTAGTGTATATTCTAAATTATTCAAATCATGACCCCCGGGGGGTGGGCGGGGCCACAATGGAGAATCAAAGTTTTACATAGTAATATATAGGAAAAATCTTTGAAAATCTTCTTCTCAAGAACCACTGGGCCAGAACAGCTGAAACTTTTGTGGAAGCATCCTGGGGTAGTGTAGATTCTAAATTGTTCTAATCATGACCCCTGGGGGTAGGGCAGGGCCACAATGGGGAATCAAAGTTTTAGTGTAGATTTCAAATTGTTTAAATTATGATCAGTTGGGTAGGATGGGGTCACAATATGTATTTTAAGGGGAAATCTGGTAAAGAACGGAATGGTCAAAGCTTCTCAGGTGAGCGATGTGGCCCATGGGCCTCTTGTTTTATTTCAAACAACACTCTGACTTTTTAGATAGGTGATCTTACCCAGTAAATCAGGTTTTATAAGCCTAAGTGGCAAAATCTATCATGAATCCTTTAAGATTTTAATATGATTTTTTGGTAACTTTAGTAACTATACTCTAGCAGATTGATATTATTCGCATGTATGTGTTTTTATGCTAAATTATGAATATTTGTACACAGGAAGTATATATTTGAAATATTTTTGAAAAGATCTTACTGAAGCATCTTTAGTGTTTTCCTGCCATGTCATATTTATGCAGTATATTATTTAAGGAATGAATTTAATAGCTACCCATTTTATACGGTATAAACTGGGTTGCGGCAGTTTACGCTTTATAAACCATACCGCGAAGCGGTTTATAAAAAAGCATAAACTGTTCCAACCCAGTTTATACCATATAAAATGGGTAGCTATTAAATTCATTGCTTATAATTTAATTTTCATTCATTTGATGTAAGAAAAAAAGATGATTGTTCTAACAAAATGACTTCAGTTTGTACAAAATTTGAATGTAACGTCGGGCGGATTGATACGTTTTTGACGCAAGTCATTGTGATGTAGGCAACCCATTTTATACGATATAAAGTAAATTTTTTATCCAATTAAATGCAGCGTAACAACCAGAATTGAATTATTGCGTTATAAGTTAAAGAGATATACAATTATCATATCTTTTTAAATTCTAATGGTTGTAAAAAAATATTGGTATTAAATGAATTAATGTATGGTTGTATGTTATTAATGAATAAGAGACCAATGTTTAAATTTTATATGTCTGTTAATTTTTTACTCTTCAAAATATTTTAGGGAAAAACATTATTGCTACAGGTTGGAAATTTGTAATACAATGTACTTGTACATGTCATCTATTTATGAACCCCAAGAAAAATGCTTATGTGTATTGTCACTGCTTCTCTGCCTTTTGAAATAATTACTTGAGGAGTTTACAATAAAAGTATTACATTCTTTTCTCTTATATATACATATGTATATCATGTGTATGAGCATTTTTAAGAGAAATTGTTATACTGCTGTGTTGATTGTAAATTTGTTAACTGTGTACAAACATAAAAAGATTCTGTTAGTTTTGGATTTTCTTTTTCAGTAACTTGAAGGACAGAACAGAATTTTTGATAGGATTGTAACTGTCTACCTGTCAGTTGTAAATTCTTCAGAAGATGGTGTTCTATTGTAAACTTATATTTACTTGGGACAACTGTAAGTCACGATTCATAATATCAACACTATCCTCAATTTGATTTTTGCAACCAAACAATTATTCTTCATCAATACACAAAAGTGCTAATTAAAGCACCTTTTCATAGTCTAACTTGTTTATTGAAAATTTGCCCGATTGCCTAATGTATCTCTATAAAGCATAGGTGTCAGAAGCAAATTAAAAGTGGTGGGGCTAAACTGACAAAAAAGTTTTCAATACCTATATATACATGTAATGTATATATTTGCAAAAAAAGTGCCCCCCCCCCCTGATTCCGACGCTTATGAAATATGCTTTAATTTACATGTATGCCCATTCAAATGCTCATGTCCTAAACAATTACCCAAAGTCCACTGTTCAACAATTTTGCCATGCAGTAAAATTGGTGAATACCAATGGTGGTCAGTATTTTTAGGTCACCTGAGTAAACCTGTTTTTGTCTGTCGTCGTGCGTTGTGCGTCGTGCATTGTGCGTTAACATTTGAACATTTTCAGCTTCTTCTCTGCAACCACTGAACCAATTTCAACCAAATTTGGCACAAAGCATCTATGGGTGAAGGGGAACAAAAATTGTGAATTTCATGATCCCTGCCCCCCTGGGGCCTGAGGGGTGGGGCCAAAACCACTAAAATTAATGCCATCTTTAAAAATCTTCTTCTTTACTCCTGAACATCAAGCAGTTAAACTGTTGGCATGATTGTAATCAGCATTTAGTCCTCTACCAAAATTGTGAAATTCATGGCCCTGGGGTCAGGGGTTTTAGTGCTAGGGCGGGGCTAAATAAGTATATCGTGAAAATGCATTATTTCTTTGAAAATCTTCTTCTATGCTCCTGGGTATTAAATAAACTAACTAGGTACATAGTTATGATAAGCAAGAGTGCCTCGACCAAAATTGTGAATTTTATGACCCCAGGGTCAGGGGTTCTGGTGTTAGGGCGGGGCTCTATTGATTATATAGTGAAAATACATGAATTCTTTGAAAATCTTCTTCTCTGCTTCTGGGTATTAAATAAACTAACTAAGTGCATAGTTATCATGAGTTAGAGTGCCTCTACCAGAATTGTGAATTTTATTTCCCCGGGGTCAGGGGTTCTGGTGTTAGGGCGGCGCTCTATTGATTATATAGTGAAAATACATGAATTCTTTGAAAATCTTCTCTGCTCCTGGGTATCAAATAAACTAACTAAGTGCAGAGTTATGATGAGCAAGAGTGCCTCTACCAAAATTGTGAATTTTATGACCCCAGGGTCAGGAGTTCTGGTGATAGGGCGGGGCTCTATTGATTTTATAGTGAAAATACATGAATTCTTTGAAAATCTTCTTCTCTGCTCCTGGGTATTAAATAAACTAACCAAGTGCATAGTTATGATGAGCAAGAGTGCCTCTACCAGAATTGTGAATTTCAAGGCCCCAGGGTCAGGGGTACCATGGAGGGGGGCTGTACTTATATACAATGTACTGAAAATGATTGAATTGTTTGAAATCTGCTCCTTGGTATTAATCTGACAAATATTTTTGAAAAACAAGCTAGGATGCCTTTTCAAAAATTGTGCAATTTGTGAATCTAGGCCTACTGGTCAGGGGTTCATGTGTGGTAGGGGCAGTACTGATTATTGCTGAATATTACTAATTAGTTGAAATGCATTTTTTGTTCTCATACCCTACCTATGGGTATTAAGTAACAAAACTAAGCAACTGCTAAGTGTATAGTTATGATGATCAATCGTGCTTCCTTCAAAATTGTGAATGCCATAGCATCTGGCTTAAAACATGAATCATTTCAATCACTGGAAAGTTGTTGATTCTCAGGTGACCTATAAGGCCCATGGGCCTCTTGTTGGTAGCAGAAGCGGCTCCGAGTCAGAATGTTGGGAGGCGTGGTGTTATATCTCTAAGTTGTCACCCCGTGCTTTGTTTTCCATAGCCCCTACCGGTACCACCACCACCACCACCACACTTCTGCTTGCCTAGTTTGGGGAAATAGTTTTCCATTGTTTGCATGGTGAAGATGACAATTTACTGAAAACATAATTTGGGAGAAATTCAAATATTTCCGTGAACTTAAAAAAGTCTTTGAAAATCGAAAAAAAGTTAAGATTATAATCTCTGGTTACGGTGGTCGTAGTCGCTATGGTTACGGTCGTGGATTGTCCTCGCCTTGTATCATATGTATACCCTCATAATATTTATAGGTTTTTATACCTCTAAAAACACAACTTTCAAGTAAACGTAATTTTGAAAATATAATAATTTATTTTGAATTTTATGAATCAATTTAGTTATTGAAAGCACAGGGACTTGCTTCTGACGTGTAAAAAATATTTTATTAAAAAAAAAAAAAACGATATACGATAAAACTACACTGTAGTTAAATAGTATATCGTTTTTTTTTTTTGTTTTTTTTTTTGGGGAGGTTTTTTTTATGAATATTTTTTACACGCCAGGAGCAAGTCCCTGTGTTGAAAGCACAGGCACTTGTTTTTGAAATTTTTTCCAAGACATCTAATTTTTAAATATACGAACTGAGTAACTAACCCCCCCCCCCCCCAAATATATTTTCCGGAACTAATTTTTCCGCATGAATTTCTGTGTTTAGAAATTTCCTACTTTCACTTTCTGGTGCCGACCTTGCAAACGCAAGTTTTGGGAGAACATTTCCCTTCAAATGGGGGGTTCTAGCAGTACGAGGCGGGTCGAATTTAATGATCCAAACGATCCTATTGTGGTCAGTACCTTTTTTTAATTATTGGCTCTGAATGGAAGAAAATGACAGGATACTGAGAAATTAGAATTCGAATTTCCTCTATCATATATGTTGTAAAGAAAGTTATAACCTTAGTTATCAATATCAGAACTGCTTTTGTACCTGTTAATTTTTACTTTTTAAATCACATTTTGAAATCTTGGAATGTATTCTTTTGGTAATCTTTACATCTTGAAAACTCAAAAGTATTCTTTAATTTTTACAACTTATATTATATGTACCCTTATTCTACAGATTTCTCAAGATGTGGCAAGGAGAATTGGAATGGATCCAAACAATCCTGCTAAACCTGGTAAGTTAAGGACTTGTTGGTTTAAAAATTGAAAAAATGCAACCTTGGACAAGTTAAATTCCCACTCACCACAATTAGACTTTGTTTCTTGGCAATGTAGTTAGAATAATCTAACTGTGTCTCGGTACAGGCCCTCACCACAGTTAGAATACGTCCCATATACTTGCAATGTAGCAAATCGGAGCGGATCCGCTCCGAAACGATTTTGAAGAATATAAAATGATTTGCACTGGGAATAACTACCAAAATAATCAAAACAAACCTTCTTGAGATTGCTTATGCCTTTTATCCCAAAAAATAATCCATATAAATACGTAAATCCAATTAATTTTCTCAACGTTTTTCTCTCCATTCAAATGTTTACATTCGGAACTCTCTAGATTGTTCCTAGTTAGGGATGGGTATCGCCAAAAATTTCGTATCGCGATATATCACGATTTTTTCCCACAATATCACGATAATATTATGATATTTTTAAAAGCAGTTTTTACAATGATTTTATATGAAAAGTCATTATTTTTCTAAAAAATATGCTAGAAAAACAAAATTTTACTTTCTTAGAATTTTTATGTATATAAAATGAATTATGTTTGGACGGTAAGATGCCGTTCTTTTCACTTTTTACAACATTTTTTATACTTTCTGTAATTGTAATTTGAAAGATTGAACAAATAAATGAATAATTTCTGGACTTTATAATATGTACCTGAAGACCGGTATTTAGGTCTTCGTATCACGATACGTATCACGCAACAAAAAATCGCGATATACCGGTATACCGATAAAATCGCACATCCCTATTCCTAGTAAATGCACTATCGCCCGTGTTTCTTTCTGCTACATTACGAATACACGGAACGAATTCTATCGTTAAACCGGGTCCGTAGGACAATATCATTTTAACGATAGAACATTCTATCTATTGGCAATGTAGCAAATTGGTTTGGATGACTATTTGAAATGGAATCACATCGGTGAGAATAGCAATAAATTTACCACAAGAGACCTTTTTTGAAACATATTTGTCCTCCATCTAATGGTAATCGTAATCCACATAAAAATTGAAAAATTCACACTTTCTTCATGTTTTTGTTTTCTTGCTTCAAATTTACATGACATGATTGAACTCTCTATTTTGTTCTTAGTATGCACATTTTTAGAATTGTCTGTTCTTGATCATTTTGCTACATTCCTAATGCAAGGAAGGCTTCTTTTGTTAAACAGGTCATATCATTTTGATGAGAAAATGTTCTATCTAAAAAAAGAGCCATATGAATATAGAAATATCACAAAATAATTTTAAAGAAGTCAACTTAAATGATTTGCAATATCAAATCCTTAATCATGTCAGCATTATTTTTTTTTTCAAAATTACATATTATGATAGAAAATTTTGGAATTAAAAAAAATGTATATACATAAATATTTTTTTTTATTTTTAGCAAGGAGGAAACTGGTAAGTACTGTAACAGTGATTTGTAATAAAAGTTTATAAAATTCACCGTGTTTTGTAAAACATATACTAATGTAGAGATTGATTCAGATTGTGATGTTAATTGAGATGTCTTTATAAAAGCAAAAAAAAAAATTGGTTTGTATTTTTTTTGTATAAAGATAAAAAATGTGAAATTTCCTGTTTATCCCTTTGCCTGTAGGAAAGTGAAGAGGAACTGACAGATTTATATAACAGTAAAATTAAAGAACTGGAGGCCAAGGTAATTGTTTTGAAATAGTTACTGAAAATTACTGAGATGCATGTATAAAATTTATGAATAATGAAAATTACTGAGATATTTTTGATTTATGAAAATTACTGGTATATTTATAAAGAAGCATATAGTGAAGCATTTAGGAATGTATTCCATAATTTTCTATATCCTTCTTTTCCATATCTTTCCCGATTTTCTTTAAATAATAGTTCTGATATAGAAATTAATTTTGAATGTCCAATTATTGTTTTCACGTAAATCATGCATCTGCTTTTTGTGTTGAACATGTTCTTTGTTGTCATTTAGAATGCTGATTTGTTAAAAGCCAGAGTTAGTGAGTTTGCACAGGCTGTGCAAGAAGTAGAGAAGAAATTCATGTAAGTAGAAGCATACAGTCTTAGGTACAACTATGTACTTGTATATAATTAGTCTATGAGTAATCTCAGTGAGATGTCGTAGTGACTAAAATTTTTAATCTCGTGTTCCTACTACATCTCAGAGCAATCCCACACAACGTGATAAGGGATTTTTTGCCCCGACTTAGACCGCTCATTTCAATCAATACGGGCTGAAATGAATTAGCCGCCTGCTTCCTTTGGTCATCTCTTTTAGTCTCTATTAATATAAAACTTTCCTTTCTTACCTTTAAAAGGTCTAAATCCAACAAAATATAAAGTTTTTGATTTTTCATAGATATATCCCATTCATTTAAACCTCTAATGCTGAAGAGTTCTACAATAGTCTGCTTTGAATACTTCGTTCTACAGTTCATTCCTATAGAAATGGTATTAGAACAAACAAGAAACACAGTAATTAACAAAGGATAAAACTTCTCCTGTCAGACAACTGATCGAATAGTCACTGAAAAATCTGGAAAGATGATTGAACAGCAGATTACTGCCATTGAGTCACCTTTCAGGCATAGAATGCTTATCATAATCAACAAACAAACCTTGTAAACAATATAGAACACTTAAAACTTACTGTAACAGTGTGAATTTACACATTTATGATTTTACCTTAAAGAACTTGCACTGCTTAGCCCTTGGATAGACCCCACATGTAAAGAACCATCGGAGGAAGTTATCTCCCTTCTTCCTAGTTTGCGTCATGGAGCAGGGCTTACTGTGACCTGGACAGAGCGGGATTTTACTGGTACTCTGACCAACTGGAATTTTACTGGTACCCGATCCCATATCCTCTGATGATGGTCTCTGTTGCACTGATGCTTTACTGTCTCTTTTATTATCTTTTATATGTTTGTTACCATGTAATGAATTGATCACATTTTGTGGGTGCACTAATTTATTTCCATTAGCAGCCTTTAATTTTTGAGATGCTGCAGAATCGAAATGAGGAGAGGAGACGGTGGTTTTTCTATTTGCTTGAGAGTGATTGCTCTCTTGAATTTGTGTAGAATTCAAAGCCTTATTGTTGATCAAAGTCTTTGTTCCACTTGTATCTTCATTTCTTTTTATTCTTTTTATTGTCTGTTCATCAGAATCTGTTGATAACTTTCTCTTCAAATCTGATACTGCAGTACCTATTTCAATATAAAGATACTCTACATGATTCAACAGAAAAGAGGACAGAGTCAAAAATTGCTATTCTGGTAAATTTTTAAAAACTGTCACTTTGTATGGTATCAAAAACGAAAGTATTCAACTATAAATTATGGAAATAATGCAGATATGTAGATTGATTATGATTGATTTAATGAAATAAACATTGGTTACTGGTAATCAGAGATTACAGAGCCCACTACAACAAATGTTGTCTTTAAGTAAGGCAAAGTCACACAATTACTCAACAATGTGTACATCCAAAAATGCAAAATTTATGCAATTTTGATCTGATACTTTGGAACAGACCTATATAAAAACTTCAACCTAGTTCTTCAATCTTCATCATGAAAATGTAATTAAAATTCAGCATCTGATGCAAGTTTGAGAGTTTTCATCACTTGATGCACAGGGGCCTGTAACATACTGTATTTGATTTTACGTAATCACTATATGCATACAAAAAGAGAAAGGGAAACAACATCAGCTCGAATTTACACAGGGTCGATCTCGGAAATGACTCGTGTTTTCAATAAAATACCTTGCAGTTAGTGAAATAACGTCTGGGATCATTCAGTAATAATCACTCTTTAATAAAAATACCACCGCGGTCATTTAAGAATCGTGTAAGTCGTGTTTTGCAGATCCAATACCCTGTCATGCAAGTGATGTAGTTTAAGTCGTCCACTAAATTCGCTAAACATTGCATCCAATATTTAACGCGAGATGTGATTGGTCAATGGTGCTTTTCTAGAACAGATCTGACCAATCACGCTCCGCCTTTTACCAATCATGGGTTTTTCCAAAATGTCGTCTGTTCTGGGCTTGAGCCTCTCTGTGAACGAGAAAGCTACCTGCATTTATTCAAATTGGAGATGTTGTACCTTTTGATTGCAATTAACAAAAGAAAAAGATGATTTTCGTGAACGCTGGATCTTAACTTTGTGTTTTCCATCTCCGGAAAGACTTCAAAACTGGAGAAAATGTGCGAATTTTGCCTCGTTTTAGTGGACGACTTAAAGTTCATCGACTCGCACAACGGGATATCGAGTTAGAATTACCCAACTTAAACGCTATAAAAAGTAACGAGGTTTCTGTTTTATTAAAAAATATTTATTGTAGTATGATTTCTAGTTATAATTTAATTGGCTACATTCTTTTTTCTATGAAATACGAAATATTTCCGAGATCGACCCTGTGTAAATTCGGGCTGACGTTGTTTCCCTTTCCTTTTTTGTATATATATAGTGATTACGTAAAATCAAAAACAGTATGTTACCGGCCCCTGTGACTTGATGCATCATTTGTGCAAGTTTGGTTTATATAAGCCTTACAGTTTCTTGGTAATAGACCTGCACCCTTAACTTTTACTTGGTCCATTATCTGGAAATGTATGTCGAATTCAGCATCCAAAGCAAATCCATTAGTGTGCATCCTAAGATGTATCATCCAAGCAGGTTTGCACAACATAGGGCTCATAGTTACTTGGAAATGACACCTGCATAAAAATTTAACCTCTTCACTCATCCAGAAAATGTAGGTCAGATTCAGCAACCGAAACTAGTCTGGTAGTATGCATCTTAAGATGTATCATCCATGCAAGTTTGGTCATTAAAGAGCTCATAGTTACTTGGAAATGAAACCTGCACCAAAAACTTTAACCTGTTCACTCATGTGGAAAATGTAGGTCAGATTCAGCATCTGAAGCAAGTCTGGTAGTTTGCATCCTTAGATGTATCATCCAGGCAAGTTTAGTCAACATAGGGCTAATAGTTACTTGGAAATGAGACCAGCACCAACTAGAACTGTCCAAACGGGACAAAATACCCCCCGCTGGGTTTTTCAGAAGTAAGTTTTTCCATAATAAAAATATGTATCAAATACCAATTATGAAATTTTTATTCCAGTGACCTTGAACTTCCCCAGATAATCTTGGGTCAAGGTCATGACACATCCTTGCGTCATGGGCAATCTTTCAGTGAAATGAGAACCTACCAAGTTTATCCATAAGAAAGATATGGACCGGACACAAATTATGATATTTTTCTTCCAGTGACCTTGAACTACCCCAAATGACCTTGGGTCAAGGTCATGACACATCCTTGGGTCATGGGCAATCTTTCAGTGAAATGAGAACCTACCAAGTTTATCCATAAGAAAGATATTACGGACACGAATTATGATATTTTTCTTCCAGTGACCTTGAACTACCCCAAATGACCTTGGGTCAAGGTCATGACACACCCTTGGGTCATGGGCAATCTTTGTGTGAAATGAGAATCTACCAAGTTTATCCATAAGAAAGATATGGACCAGACACGAATTATGATATTTTTCTTCCAGTGACCATGAACTTCCCCAAATGACCTTGGGTCAAGGTCATGACACACCCTTGGGTCATGGGCAATCTTTGTGTGAAATAAAAACCTACCAAGTTTATCCATAAGAAAGATATGGACCGGACAGGAATTATGAAAATTTTCTTCCAGTGACCTTGAACTTTCCAAATTGACCTTGGGTCAAGGTCATGACACATCCTTGGGTCATGGGCAATCTTTGTGTGAAATGAGAACCTACCAAGTTTATCTATAAAAGATATGGACCGGACAGGAATTATGAAAATTTTCTTCCAGTGACCTTGAACTTTCCAAATTGACCTTGGGTCAAGGTCATGACACACCCTTGGGTCATGGGCAATCTTTGTGTGAAATGAGAACCTACCAAGTTTATCAATAAGAAAGATATGGACCGGACACGAATTATGAGGTTTTTCTTCCAGTGACCTTGAACTTCCCCAAATGACCTTGGGTCAAGGTCATGACACACCCTTAGGTCATGAGCAATCTTAGTGTGGAGTAGTAGATTCTAATGTCCCTCTGTAAGAAAGATATGGACCGGACACGATTGCACAGACAGACGGACAGACAGACAGACGGACGGACAGCTAGACGGACAGACAGACAGACAGACGGACAGACGGACAAGGTGATTCCTATATACCCCCCCCCCCAAACTTCGTTTGCGGGGGGTATAATTATTCAAAGGAAACTATTGCGGAACTCTTCTTACAATAAAAGGGTGAAGATAATGAACACTATTGAGCACTTCCTAATCTCAAAAACTCTTGAAACAATCAAATCTGTGAAAAGGACAATTTATACAATAATTAACTTATGCTTTAATTAGCTCTTATGTACAGTATGTAACACAGGTACATGCATATTTGACTATATTTTAATGCATGTATCCTTAAGCTGTCTGAATCATTCATGTTTTAATGTGAGGGATCCTATTTATTGTATTTTCCGGTTACTGTTAATGAATCAGTATTTGCCTTTGCGTGACAGGAACACCACAGGATCTCCGGTGTGCCAGGACCTACAAGACAAAGTTTTCCGCTGCTACACAGAAAACAATAAAAAGACACTGCTATGTTCTGAAGAAGTTAGAGCTTTCTTTGAATGTGTAGAGAGAGCACGAGCGGTATGTATCGCAGATTTACTGGTAATGCAGGGTGATAAAAAATATATAAGTACTTTAATCTAAAGAATTTGGTACAAAAAAAAAATGTTAATAAATTTTGTAGAAAAAGGTGTAGTTTAGGATAAATCTGAGTAATGAGGAAATTTTAAGAAAGATAGACATGTAGAATGATGTCATAAATGAGAAAATACAATTTATTGCAGAGGAGTTACTTCCCGTTGATTAAAAAAAAAATCAAATTACTTAAATTGTCAACGTTTTAATCTATTCCTTTAGCTATATTGTTCTAGATTTTTGTTTTTTATTTGATACATGTTCTTAATGCCAAAAAAAAAAAAGATTTTAAAATTACCCGTAGATTCTGTATGTTTAAACAGTCAAGAAATTTTCTCCTATTTGATATCTACATAAGAGATGAATGTTTAGTTTAAGTCTGTACATTTTGTGACATCAACAAGTTGATAAGTCTAAATGCTGTAACATTTTGATAATATTTACTTTACAGAATGCTCTGATGAGAAAAGGCTAAGGAGGAGTACTGTTCATCATTTACTACACACATTTATAACATAAAGTGACATTAAAGCATCACTATATAATAGTGGTATTGACATTCTTGTTGTGACTATTAAGCAATGCAGTAATTAATAAAGTTTGTATAACATGATTGTATACTTTTTTTTGTCTTATTGCCGAGTTACTCTAAAAATTTGGTGTCAGTAAGGGCTGTAGCAGTATCTCATTAGAACAGATGAACATGTAATATATGCATTATTGCCATGCTACAATTGTAATGTTTATTCATGATGATAGGATGACAGATCTACTCAATGGCAAGAAATAGCAAGAAGTTAAAAGTTTCTTTTTCTAGCTCACCTGAATTTAAAGCCACTTGCCACAAAGTATTCTTAATGAAGGGGATTTAGGTTTGTTCAAAGGAATTGCCACTTCCTCTTTCAAGGGAAGATCATTGAGATATTAAAGTGAAATTTTATGCTATTTTTCAAAAATCAAGTCATCAAGAACAATTTTAAAACTTCAAGAAAGCTTCAGTACATAGTGTAGATTCAAATTGTAACACTGGGGTGTAGGATTTGGCTACAATGGAAAATCGAAAGGGAAATGGAACAAAGCTAATATACAAAAGCCATGTTTAGTCATATTTATACATGCAGAAGCATCCTTAAATAGTGTAGATTAAAATTTGTTCAAGTTTTGACCTTTGGGAAGGTGCAATCACAATGTGTGATCAAAATTCTACATAGGAATAGATGGAAGAAAAGAGCAAGAAGGTTTTATGTGGAAGAAAAGAGCAAGAGGGTTTTATTTAATATTCAGTACCGAGTTTTACTAAAAGTCGTAAATTTTGCCGTAGACGTAGACGTAAACGTAGACTTTACGACTGAATTTACGTGTGCGTAGATAGCGTTTTACTAAAGGTCGTATCTGCGCCCGTAAACGTAGCCCTAAACGTAAAGATTCTCGTAACTTACGACAGGAACTCTTCAGTAAAAGGTAGAAAAACTAACCTAGTAACGGAAGCTACGCATGCGTATCAGCTACATTTATTCAGCTGAATCAAGAAGAAATATTAACTGAAATGAATAGACAGCATAATTAATCTATTAAAATAATTATTAGTAAAAGACATAATAGAAATATGACGGGGTTTTTGATTTTCAAATTAATTTTGCCGACAAAAAATTCGAGGTGTTGTTTTAAATGATTTCAATTAATTTGCTATCAAATAAATAAGCAATTACATGTAGTCTTTATTTCTAAAAAAAAAAATCAGAATAGATGTCAGTTGCGATTTTTAATTATCCATTTAATTTAGAAATCGATCTTAAAATGGGAGAAAGATATTAAACATTTAGAAGCCAATCAACAATTATGAACCAAATAATTGCATATATATATATTTTTTAAAAATTACCTTTTACCAGGCTGTTTGCATATACTGTACGATTACGAGTTAGGTTATGGGCATATTGAAAAGTTTGTACAGTACATGTATCTGCGCGCTACACGTGACGCATTGAAAAATAAAACTCTGAAAAAAAAAACTTTCCTCTTTATATCTCTCAATAAATAGCTGAAAATATCTGGGGGTATTTTACTTAGTCGTGCATTATAAGTCTTTAGAGATTAAAAGTCCAAGTATTGTTCATGATAGAAAAAGCATACTGTTAATTATTATATTTTTCTTAAGGTAAGTCACTCGTCAGCTTTTTAGAAAAGTTCACGCAGAAGCTTTTACTTCAAAACTACTAATCAAAATTCAATTTTTATAACATATTTAAATTCAACAATGTAAATTTTTTAACATTCAATGAAAAAACTGCTCAAAAATCTACAAAGAAGTAAGATTTATGAGGGACTATTTCTTTTGGTGGAAGGATATTTAGCAGAAAATTCTGCAAATCTGCACATTTATAAAATTTAATGTAATGGAAATTTAGCCTCACATACTTTTACTGGGAGAATATTTTCCGTTTTGATATTGCTAAATATATTTAATATAGGTCTTAATTTATATTTTTAGACTAAGTTTTACACCTTCCCTCAACAAACTTTTCCAAAAATTGAAAATATATTAAAGAAGTCAAGGTCAAATTTACACCATTTTTTGCCTGAAAATCACATATTTTGACAAATATTTCAAAATTAACATCACTGACCCCACCTTTTTCTTTCATTATTTTAAACTACTCGATACTTGTGACTGATCAGCACTCAAGTCGTAAAAAGTTTGATATAAGAAAATTTTTTATTGCCTATTAAGTTTTTTAATACCCCAAATATGTTATTTTTTAGTGCAAAAAGGTCACACAATAATTTACGCGCATTAATTTGCAAGATTTGTTTAATGATAAATATTATTCAAACTATTTTACGTAAAATAAGGTTGTATTTATTGCCATGCTTACATCTAATCAAATATAATAAGGGTTAAAGTAATTAACCAAAGAGATGAAATTTAAGTGCAAAAAGGTCAACTTAAATGTACCGTAGATCAGTAGGATGCACACTGACCCCCTATTTTCTTTGCGATTTTGAGTTACACTTTATGAGTACTTATTCAAAATATACTTCTCAAAAAATCCTTGATATAACAAATTTCAGGAGTGACTTACCTTAATTACAATATACAATATTGTTTTGCTGAAACTTTCTCTAATTTCTTTTCTGTAAAAACTTGAAAACAGAAAAACAACAAACTTACAATCGAATCTCATAGATTGTTATTTTTAATTCTCTCTCTCTCTCCCCCCCCCCCCTCTCTCTCTCTCTCACATATCTAGTTTTTTTTTTATTTTATCAATGTACAAGAAGGCCATGTGATTTGCGATAATATGTCACAGAAATTAGCACATGATCCGTGAATTTTTTTTTTTTAGAAATTTATTCTTTACATACAATGAATAACAAAGTACTGATAAGAGTTTACATTGTATTATGTAACATGTCTGCATATTATAAAAAAATCTTTTACAAGAGGTGCATTCTTTTAAATTGCATTTCCAAATTATGACGTAATTTTCTATATACATTGCGTATATTCTTCTATGACGTCATATGGCTCCGGGAAAAAAAAGATAGGCCTTTACAGTGTGCGGTATTTTTATTTAAATGCCTTTGTTAAGAAACCCTGTCATTTTTACGTGACAAATAAAATTTTGCAATATATTTTTAAAAGTTTTCTTCCGTAAAAATGTATTTGTACATGCAGGCTTCATATTTATAGGTGTAACATGATAGTAAAATAAATTGCAAGTGCTCAAATTATATAAGCGATTGAAATCGAGTTTTTTGGGTTTTTTAATTTTCAATTTTATATTTTCTTAAAAGTTCATGTGACAAGGTAATACGAAGTTAACATGGGATCCCCATGTTTTACGAGTTTTTTTTTTTTTTTTACATGATACAGTATATAAATTTAATAACTAGTTCTGTAACCCCCTCCCTCCCCCTCACTTGTGCCTATAAGATTTTAAAACAACAAATCGTTTTATAAATACTCTAGACTTCAAAATTTATTGCAGAGTTCTTCTTTACGTAAAATTTCGAGTATGTCCATTAGGGCATTACATTGCACAAGTTGACGTGTTATTATTATTCGATAAACTCCAAAAGAAATCACGGGAAATAAAAATTGTGACATGAGCATCGTATTAATAAAAAAAATTAATGATTTTTATCCCCCAAAGACACGTTCAGTCATATTATAAAGTTATAGAATTTATTTATAAGGCTACGTGTTTCTCTACGACTGCTATAGGGCACACGTAGATTTTCACGTAAATCTACGTCAAATCGTAAGATACGACTTTTAGTAAAACGCAAAATCGGCGTAAGTTACGGCTACGTCTACGCTTACGTCTACGTTTTGACTTACGACCTTTAGTAAAACTGGCTACAGGTGAGCATGTGATCCATGGGCTATAATGGAATGCTGTAGTACAAGTACTCTATGAAGCAGTATCTGCTGGACTGTTGTCTTTACTAGGAAAAGAAACTATTTCTGCTGTTGATCAGTTTCTATTTATCTCCACACTGGTATAAAGATAATGAATGTAGGAAGTTTTTTCTATCATGCTGATAAACATCACTCAAAATAAATCATCACTCAAAACAGATGAGCACCATATATTTTAATTTCAACCAACCATTATGCTGACGTGTAACATAAAACAAAATATGATAACAACCATTAAAGGACAGATTTCTGATATTCAAAAGAATTCCTCTTCTGACCCCAAGAAAAAAAATCAACTTTGAAATCACAACAAAGGAATGTAATAGAAAGAAAAAAAGCACAATGTAAATATTCATAAAACTTAATGAATGGATTTCATAACCTAATCTGACCCAAAGAAAATCAAAGTACTCAGAAGTACAGAGAGCCGGGCTCATTTACAGAGTAGAATGGATTTCTTACATGAATCACGTTTATATTCTGATGAAAAAATTATTTTAAAACTATCAATATAAATGATAAGACACTGACAGTGAGTTTTTTCAATCCTAATACCACGGTTCGATTTTGTCAGAATCAGAATTAATCTGGTACTGCAGCTGAATGTAAACAAACAGGCAAGTCTGGTTCCCTCTCCTGCTTTACCTCGTATGTGTAGAGAACTACGGTAACACTGATTATCAAAAATTCTTACGCTAATGAACTATGTTCTGTGACTTATGAAGTTTTCAGTCATTACTACTAATGTTTATTTTATATAGATAAAACTTCGTTTTATTTTTGTTGCTTTATTTAGCGTTTGTATTATCTCCAAAGCGGTTGAAAGTAAGAACTATATTTTTGCACGTTACTTTAAAATGGCGACTATGGGGTCAACATCCTGCCTTGAACAGGATCACATAAGGCGGCAATTGCTCTTTGAGCAATAAGCCCGGCTAAAAATCATAACAACTGAATTATGTATTGCAAAGTAGAAGATTAAAATAAAACATGAAAAAAATACAACAAAGGAATGTAATGGAGGAAAAAAAATGATGCAAATAAAGTGAAGCCTGTCTAATCTGACATACTTTGGGAAATAAATATTGTGTCAGAATTGGAAGGAGGTTGGATTACAGAGTAAAAAACACAGAAAAATAATGAACAGGAATGAAAATAAAAGTTGGAATTCACAGAGATACGCATTGCACAATTGTCAGATTAGCCAGTTTTACTGTACTTATAAAACATGAATGGATTTCATAATATGGATAATTTTACAAGAAAATCAAGAATTTAAAAACTTCACAACCACCTGTCATATAACAAAGAATATATAATACATGTTTATAGACATCAATGTTAATGCACAACTACCGAGAAAGAAGATATAGATAACCAAAAAAATATATAAAATGCTCCAAGTGTTTACAACTTACAGTAGTCCTAATGCATGTAATGAAATCATATAACAATCATTCCATCAATCAACGGTGATCACCATATAATTAAAGCATGCAATATCACTAAACAAATCCTCTCTACAATAATTTTTAAGTAAATCAATTCAAACTGTTTAAAATTGCCCAAGTTTTCTATCCATTTATTATTATCATTTTTAAATTGTTATTAAATAAAACAATTAGGTAATTTCTGCTTTGATATTCAATATATATTATTGTAACAGTAACTTGATCCGAAGGGTCGTATCATGTCGAGTTTACTTTACGCGAAGCGTCAAGTTTGATCTGATGATCCGCGCCTGTCAACAAGACTTGATATGGCTCTTTGGATCAAGTTACTGTTATAATGATAAATTTATTATAAACCCCCTTATAACTAGCTAAATATGGCAAAATAAAACTTAAAAGATCAATTGTATAATATTTATCCATAAAACAAACCATAATAACAAGGGACTTATTTCTGCGTACTACATTATCAGTTTCAGAGACTTGTGATATGGATTAAGAAAACCAGTGTGGTGATACGGAAAGTTGGATTACAACATCACGTGATGCTTAAAATCACAGTAAAATTTAGTGATACACATAAGGTATAGTATAATAAATTCAGATACATGTATACATGCATCTGCCACTGTCTACTACATGTATGGCTCAACAATTCCAAATCTCTCTCTCCCCATTTTTCGAACAATTCTTAAAAATTGACTAAAGTAGTTCAGTAGTAAAGATTTTTAAACAATTATCATGACAAATGGAATCTTCCAAAGGAAAGAAAAGTAAACTATAGCTTATAGAATAATTAATGTCAAAAAAAATACTACAAACAAAACTTTAAATCACCACAAAGGAATGAGAATTCGTCGTCCATGTCAGACAAAAACACTGTATGAGATCAAAACTGAGGGGTTTACATAGGTTCAATCGTAGTAAACTTAATTACAACAGCAGTTAAACAAATGGATAGACATTGTTCAACCTTTTTAAGTTAATTAGAACATATATAATACCAATAGGCTTACAATGATAAATATTGTAATGAGATTCACACACTGGATTGAGTTTTCGGAAAAATAACGTTATTTCAAGAGGTGAATTCCAAATAAAAGAATCAAGCTTAATGTAAATATGCTGAAACATTAAAAACTGTTTGATACCATAATTATAATGCAGAGATTCTGAACTATGACTAGTCACTGAAGATATATATCTGTACATGTTCTTTGAGACGTAGAGAGTTGTATTAAAAAGTTACACAATGTACATTATTATGACTTTTACTATGCAGCACTTAAAATTCTGTCATAATGTATCTAATAGTGGACCCAGCAAGAACATGAAGAATAATTTAAAAACTCTGTAGATTGAGGTAGCACATTAAATAAATACATTGTAAATACATGCCCCCTTACCCTCAAGGGCTGGTAAACTGTCTGGACAGACTGGTCCCCAGTGTGTATCCAAAGTGTCAAGCCCCCCTGTTTCACTTGAAAAATATAGTTATGAAAATTTATTTTACAGTTCACAAGGGAAAAAAAACCCCAAAAATTCCATCCCAACACCAAAGAAGTAAATGGATTTCTTTTTTCAATATACTACATGTACTATATTATAATTCAATAAAGAAAAACAAAGAACAATACATAAATAATTGAGCTTGAAAACATTAAACAAACTTTAAATTTCAAATTGCACATAATAGCCACTTTATGTCTAAAAATGAAAAACAGAAGCCTTAGTTATCTCCCTTTTCAAAAACAACAACATTCTTGGAGAATTCTCACATACTTTTGAAATATTTCTAAATACTGCATACTAAAAAATAGAGCATATTATACATGTATAAACCTATTTGCTCCACAATGTGGGTCGTTTAGATTGCTTCTCCAACTCTTTAAATGTTGAAGTTTTATATAGTCCCAGTTTGATTCCAGTCTTGGCACGATTCTCATTGATATGCCTCACGGGAAAGGGATTGAAAGGTTTCTTTATTGCACAGAGTGGGTTCTGAGAGTGACTAGGAGATTTAACGTCACTGGACCAGGACACAGACTTTCCGGCCGTTGGGCTCATGTTATCACCAGGAAAAAATCTCGGAGACTCTGAGTCATCAGGACTGAAAACCGAACCAGAATCTGAGTCAGTCAAAGGTTTGGAAGCACTAGACTCCACACTACAACTGGACATTTTGCGTTTTGAGTGTGCATACTGAGCTAAGCTTAAACTCTGTGACATGGTGATAGCTCTGGAATTGGATCCATAACTAGTCCTCCTCACTTGTTTCTCAAAACTCTGTCCAGAGTAAACAGACTTTTCATCTTCACTTACAGAATCCTGAGAAATGCTTCGTAGAGGAAGTTCCATCCTTCTGCTTTCCAGCTTCTCATTTTTCGGAGATTTTTCACTTGGATCCTCCTGCGAGTTTTCTGTTTGATCCTCCTCCTCCTCCTCTTCACTGTCTTGTGCCAGCTGACTGGAACACGCCTGGATCATATCCTCGATCTCCCTCATTAACTCCTCCTCGTCAGAATCTGGCTCCATGTATCCCCTATCCCTCCTCTGGATACAATTCTCATTGAAATCCTCCACACTACAATCACTTGACTCCACTGAGATCTGACGGTCCAGGTTCTGCACACTTCCATCTTCCTCAATAGAATTTTCACAGTCATTGTGTATATCCTTATTTTCTTGCACCCCGATTTTCTGTTCTGAACAACTGGCAATTCTTTCATCTTCATTTTGATTGGCACCACCTTCCTCTTTAGACACAAGTCCATTAACTCCATCTGAAGTTGCCCTACTTTCCTTTTCACAAACAGAATTTTCCACCCCTTTTCCGCTTTCCTCTTCCTTTTCCTCTTTAATAATCTCGGAGGTCTTTCCTGACTGATTATCCATTACATTATTTTCAATACTGGCACATTTCTCAGAATTCACTGACGTTTCTGTACTGTTCTGTTTTGTGTTGACTATCTCTTGAACATATTTATTTGGAGTTTTCTGTTCCTTTTGCAGAAATTGGGGAACCATCATGACTTTTCCACCCCTGAAATAAATACAATTATTTATACATTTTAATATGTGGAATCTAGATTTTACACTTGTATTTGTGTATCTTTCTAATTGAAATCAACAGCAATGACATTTGCCAGATTCTCAATATCTGTATCTGATGTGGCTGATATTAAGTCTGAATAAGCTACATTTCTTATACATGTACCTGTTTCTGGCATGATTAACGTTAGGAAGCATTGCCTTGCTAACAAACAGATGATTAATGGCTCTTGGTGGTTCCATTTTTGGAGTTAAAGCTTTCACTTTGGCCTGTTGTTTGGCTGAGGCAGCTACAAAGGATAAAATTATGATAAAAAGTACTGTTAATTTAATTCCTTTTCAGAAATACACAGTGCATGAAATGTATTGCAAGTCTTCTTCAAAATTATTAAAATCATACTATATGGTTATTTTTGCTGTTTTATTTTTGCCCTTTTACTTTGTTTGAGATAGCTATACTGACCTGCTATGACATGAGCCTGTGTCTGCCTTTGTTTGAGCTTGCTATACTGACCTGCTATAATGACATGAGCCTGTGTCTGCCTTTGTTTGAGCTTGCTATACTTTTGTTTGAGCTTGCTATACTGACCTGCTATAATAACATAAGCTTGTGTCTGCCTTTGTTTGAGCTTGCTATACTGACCTGCTATGACATGAGCTTGTGTCTGCCTTTGTTTGAGCTTGCTATACTGACCTGCTATGACATGAGCCTGTGTCTGCCTTTGTTTGAGCTTGCTATACTGACCTGCTATAATGACATGAGCCTGTGTCTGTCTTTGTTTGAGCTTGCTGTACTGCTTCTTCAGTGAGCCTATGTCTGTACACATCCTCTCCAGATACACTGAGGAGTTGTTAGATTGATTTGAGTCTCCACCCATTCCATATGCCCCAGGCCCCACCATTGAAATGTCTGCTGTGCTGCTGTTAGGGTCAAGATCAGAACCTGAAAAAAGGGGGGGATAGAAATGGAGTAAATGAACACTGTTCAAAATCCAATTCTTCTTTTAAAAAATTATTCCAGGCTATCAAAGAGAAATATTTCATGCTAACAAACACTTATCTTCCATAATTTCAGATGAAACAATGAGCATATTCAGAAAAACATGGTAACAGATTTACAGAACAAAATAGCAACAGCCTAACGTTACACATATAGGCTTCTTTTTTTAAAATGGTACAATACTGAACAAAAACCTTCATCTAAAGAGTAAATGGTTATTAATCTTAAATTGGTTTACTGTATTTCTGATGTTTGGTTACCTTTTCCTTTACTAATCCCACTTGCTGGCATAATGCCAGTAAAACAACTGATGGCTTCAAGGTCATCTTCATCGAGGTCATCCTCATCACTAGGCAACATGTTGTTGGCCCCTGACCTCTTGTTGGTGTTTGAAGCACTGGTGAAGGGTCTTATGTTATAGGTATATTTCTCTCGGAGTTCTGGCAATTGTTGCATAGGCAATGGTGCACATGCATATATGAACTATAAAATCAGAAAGTTTGGTATGAATTTACTGACTGACTCTAAAAATTTATAATCCTTTTATGTAACTTATTCAAAATAGTATGTAAGATTCTTTGAAATGGCTTTCAAAGTCGCATAACAAGGGTAGTGTCAGCCTTTTGTTACTTCCATCTTAAAAATTTTTAATGCATAGGAATTAAAACAAACCAGCTGATGTGGTAGAGAGGAATATCTTGCCTTGATTAAGAGATCAGCATTAAAGATTCGTCCATCCATAGTTTCCTGAGTGAGTGTACCCATCAAAGAGTAGAACTCATCTGCACTACTTGCAGACAAAATCCTCCTAAAACAATTATTTTTATAATCATAAAAGTCTACTCTTGAACTTCACAGCATAACTTGTAATTTTATGTATCAGAACACAATAAACATACATGTACTAGCCAAAGTTTGTGAAAGTTTTGTTTTGCTCATAAATTTCACAATTTCAGGAAAAAGTTTTGAGAAATATTAGAGACCTATGGTACCCTTTTTTCATCTTTCTATCAGTATGTTTCTCACTGGGAACAACATTTCTTTATTTAACATTCAATATTGTGTAAAGGACATGTATTTTTGTATACTTACTTAGTGAGTTTACCCCAGATTGCCAGAGCTGTTCTGAGTAAGATCTCTGAGCCCTCCAGTAAAATTGAGTCCCACACCCTCAGTACTATATGTTTTGGCAGACAGGTGGCAAAAAGGGTCAGGAACCACTGCATTGTAAACACATTTGTCAGAGGGGGCTCATAGTTGGCACCTAGAGAAAAATAAACTCCAAAATTAGCAATATAAGCAATATAAAAGCCCTTTTAATCAACTGTTGTGGCTAAGACTTTAATTTTTTAATGATCTGATTTTTGTCAGGATAAAAAAAACCTGCAAGAGCATGCATTGAGGCAGAGGATTCCAATACCAACAATGGATTTTGATGAGGGTGAAAAAGACAATTACAAATTCTTCAAAATCATCTAATAGTATATAATTAGCACAGTTACTGTCATGTATATGGGCACCAGCTTCAAGTGATGACTACTTTCAGGCTCATCCATTATGAACTGGAGAGAGAGAAGAGAGAGAGATACTAGTATTTACCTGTGGTTTTGTCCTGGGCAGCACTCTGAAGGTGGTCTAGGTGTTTTGAGAGCTTAGGAAAGGTCACCCTCAAAAGGTCACGGAATACCGCCATGTCAACTGACAGGGCCCTCAGATTGTGAGCATAGTAACCCTCAGGTAACACATGGTCAATCAGGTAAATCATCACCTGTAGGAATAAGTGTACCCATATAAATCTTTAGCAGTTGGAGAACTGTACCAGCATTAACTATTCCTAGTATGAATTATAGTACCAGCATGTGTTATTTACTGAGTAAACTTGAGGAATTTAACATTTTAAAAAAAATCTGCAAGATTTTCCTTGCTAATTGTAAACTTCATTTTAAAGGAGCTGCATGTAGGGCATATCTAAACTCAATTTAATAATGTGCACTGAGTCAAAATAGGCAGACGAGATCAGTATACTGACTTCAAACTGAGCTTAAAAGAACTTTATTCGGTATTAACCAATATTTGCCCCCCAAATCAAACTTTGATGGAGATATATTTAATTAAGTTCTTAAAAAAGGGATTATATATGCTGACTTCAAAGCACTGAATATTTTCATAAGTAATCTGTCACAAACATGACGTAAATTTCAGTTTTTTATGAATTTTACAGAAAAATGTATATTTCATTGATATTTTTGTAAACATGTGTGTTCAGGATCAATATTTTGATATAATGTGTAGAATGATAATATCAATGAAATATGGCATTTTCTAAACCCTTAAATTTTTAAAATTGAAATTTTGTGCACAGAAAAAGGTCAAAACATAAAAACAAAAATTGTGAATACACTGCTTTGACACTTTAATATTTTCTGTTAATTTATATTTCTCATACAATTTATTGAATTCAGCACATTTCAGGAAGTTTTCAAAATTTGACTTTTGTGGGGGCAAATATATGCAATATACCGCATATAGTTCTTTGTGATTGTACTAAGTTTCTGTGTTACCAAATGAAGAGTCGATCATTGTCTCCCTTGGATGGGGCACCAGTCTACAGTAGTTAACCACTAGCATAATAAAACTCAGTGTCCACTCACAGATAACAGGACTGAGACTATTCCAATGAAAAATGACTTGTCCATTAGGGTAATTATTTTAACTGTCCTATCAAGTACCCACAATGAATGGGATTTGAAGCAGCTATTTGAAACATCTACAAGACTATGATGACAGAACTATGAAGTACCTTCTCCAATAACACCTTAATAAATATGTATTTATGTTTTATACATAAAATAAGAAGTTCGACTCAAAGATTTAAGAACAATTTATGAGAATCTACTGTAATTATGATGTGACAGCTTTTATATTTATGAATGATCAATAAAAAATTTCATAGAATGAAGTGGACCTAGGCAAACCACCAGATTTCACAGGGGGAGAGGGGGGAAGTTTGCCATAATTGTTTCTTCCAATATCATGTCTTTAATATAAGTGTTTCCTAGTACATTACAAATTATTATATTGTATATTTTACATTGTAAATTATGAAATGTCATCAGGTCTTAGAAAAAAGGGATGAAAAAATATTTATTAATCCTTATCTAGAATGTAAATATGAGAATTCTATAATAAACTTATTTATTCTATGGCAACACGACACTGACCAGTTAGTAGATAGCTGGCAGAAAAACAAAGCTGTTACTTTGAAATTCATAGCATGTCAGGCGATTGACCCAAAAGAATCCCTCAGAGTTCTCCTGGCAGTCCAGAGTTTTATGTCAATCAGACATGCAGACTTGAGAACATTAAATTGATTTACCAGGAAACCTACTCATCAATATAGCACTAGTCTTGTATTGTCAAAGGAACTGACATACCACGCAGGAGTGGAATATTGTTGTTGACCAAACATAAACAATTACATAGATATTGTAAATCACGGTCTACAATTAATGAGCATTTATGCTTTGCAGAACCTGATAAAAAAACTTGTTTAGTACAAACACGGATATGGCGAATTCAAGGATAAAGCGAAGTTATCTTGGATCCCCAGCAACATTTATTTCACGAATTCCTTATACTAACATAACAAATTACGGATACAGCAAAGTAATTTCATACATCCCAGTGATTTCATTATAACCAATGTTATAACCGGGTTTTAGTGTACTAGCTTATTTAATGGAATTTTTTTTTTTTTTTGAAAATTTATATTTTAATGTGATGTCAAATGCCTTTGAAAAAAATTTAATATCTATTCCCTCCAATGAACATTGAGGCATCTCCATATGAGGGAAAAATTCTCAAGAGGGGGTGTTAAACGACAAAACAATCAATAAATCCAATGAACATTGATATAAATTCTCATTTAAGTATAATGTTTATGTCTTAACCTCAATATTAGTCACCAACGAAAAAATAAAAATGTCTATATATTTCACTGAATTCTTCAAGATATTTTTTCCCTGAACTTGAATATCTACTTAAATTAAACATGTGATCATATGCATGATTCAACTTAATAACAGGTGAAAAGCATATTGAATCAAGAAATTGTGAAAAAATGTCAGCTGCAATAGGAATGGTTTAGACGTACTTTTAAAATGTTTCTTTATATTAGACCTCGTCCATTTTATGAATATAGGTGTAAAATCACTTGTGAATAAATGTTTATATGTATATAGTAACAGATTCTGAGATACACTGAGTTAACACTGGTTTTAACAGACAACAATAAAAGTAAAAAAAAAAAAAAATTAAAAATGCATTACATCAAACTTAAAACTATTGTTTAGTTATCATTTTAATCAGTCTTCAAACTGGGAAAATGACAGAAATCCATGTAACTTAAAAAAATTAAAAATGTTTAGACATGAAAAAAATATCAACCATAATTATACATAAAAGCATTTACTTGTTCATACAATTCCCTGATGAGAAATTAAGTTTCTTTGATAAGAGAAATATCAATAAAGTATTGCCACACAATGAATGTATAAACATTCTTTATCAATGCTCAACTAATTCTATAAGTTACACATCAATAGTTGATGATGTAGCTAGCAGCGAATAATTGTGCACAGATATATTGACTTCATTTCTATCATTTTAATACACTTGTTCATGATGTACCATATAAAGTAAAAAAAAATGTTTTAGAAAAATAAAATTGTGTGTGGGTGAGGGGGGGGGGGGTCGATATTGAAAGTTACTCATTAAGTGAAAATAAGGCTGAAAGCTTGCTTGGTAATAACAGGCAGTTTTAATAGTTTTTGTTCTTTCAAAAAAGAAAATTATTTAGTTGCCTTTTAATAATCTTTTGAAAATCAGTTGTTATATGTCTATCTGATTCCCTTATGGCATTTTACATACATTAAGTTATTCATAAATTTTATCTGACAAATTAAGCATTTTCTTGGTTGTAATTAAAATATTACTAACACATTCTGTCCAGTTTATGTTACAAGTAAGCATGTTACTGTCACATAAGCTATAGAGCTTCAGGAAAATCCAATTTCCTGCCAATCTCCCAGGAAGCCCCGCTCTATCACTGTGAGGCTCTGATGAGTTTACTTCAAGCGTGATAGAATTGTGCAACCACAGCAAAAATTGAACCACAGCCATATTCCAGGGATGGGCATTTTTACTGATTTGAACAAAAACTTAATAATTCAATCAGTTCCCTCCTTTAAAAATTTGTTTCTTGATCTGTACAATTTATGGTTAAACTTTGCAATGTTTTAGGTGATCTGCATTTCCGCCTTCTTCGTGCTAGACTTTCTGTATACTAGCTGTCAAATCCCAATCTTTTAGTTTTTAAAACATTTTTATTTTGTAAAGTAAGAAAGAGGTTAGGGAGTGGCATTGGTAGTTGAAGAAAATTCACTAGTTATAAAAGAAAACTTTGTTTATTGTTTTCATTTTTTAATTAAGAAAATGTATAATTATAAATATTTGAAAATCTGCCCCAATTCCCTATATTAATTATTTAATACTGGCATTTATGTTAAATATATATTACATTTAATAATTAACTTATTTTAAATCATAAAAACTTTCAAGTTTTTGACAATTCACAACCAGAGAGATCTATTGCCTTCAACTTCAGACTATAAATGCCAGTTATATCAGAAATCAACAGTATTAGATTCCATTAACTTTTTTTTGCTTTGACAATAACTTTGACCTTCCTTTATGTGGTATTAAATAGATATGGTATCCTTGACAACACAGATAGATCAGCTGACAGAGAGGTGTTAATATGTATTCCAACCTCCAGATTTCTCACCATTATCCCCCGTAATTTTACAGAGCTTTATAAGAGAATGTTATAAGTATTGATTTCTGTATACACTCTTAATTAATAAAGCACCACTGAACCTTACATCACAGGCTGCTCAATTAAATACCTATTTTTTTCTGTTTTCCAATATAATTATTTCACGGAAAGAATGTACTAGAGATTTTTTTTAATACTAAACAGATTAAAAACAGTCATGCAAACAAGTTTCTAATTATATATATATTTTTTATCTTCAATGAAGAGTATTTAACTTACCTAATTTATCAACTCTGTTTTAATTTTTAACTATTTTGAGCACTGGAAAAACTGTTTGTTGATAATTTCTTGCAACTATTAAATAATTATTGTAATTAAGCTACAAACACAGATATGCTGCAGATGACATTTCAACATACTATTTTCCTATCACAAGCATCGAGACATTCTAAGCTCCTCTGATACTATGCAGCTTCAAACTAAATGTCATTGGTTAATCATCACTGATAACTCTTGACCTAATGGTCTTGACTTAAACCTTGGACTTGACTTACATTTGAACTAGAAAACTGACCAGTCAGCAAGGGCCCCGCTATGGGTAGAATTATAAGGGTGCAGCTTATGGAATGATTCAAAAATATATGACAAATAAGAAACAGCAATTGTATTTACATAAGGCAGTAAAGAACAACTCAACACTGAATGTATATCTAAACAATAATGAAGCCTGCATGTGTTACATAAAATGCCAGCCTTCAATGAATGCTGCTTTATGCAAATACATATCATGAAGGCTTGACCTTAACTTCAAAACAAACAGCAGTTGCAGACTAAGGTTTTCATTAATCTTAAAGAGACAGATAAAGATAAGCCTTCTAAATTTTCTGCAGCAGACTAGATAATTAATCCCAAGGGATTAATTGTACTTCTCTCTTTTCATTTTCTTCTGAATTTTTAATAAAATTTTTTCAGTAATGATAGAATGATGTTTTTATCCTACTACCTTAAAAATTAATAATATTCTTGAATTTTTTAAATAAATAAATTTTTTTTATATATTTTCTTTAATCTATTTCTTGTTTTAAGAATTCAATGAAATCAGAACTCATTGTGTAGGGTATTTCAACAAAAAAACATTAATACTTCAATCCACTTAAGGCCAGTTTACACTTATGACACATATCTTGGATGCATTTTTAAAAGCCCCTTGTGTCAAATTAAATGGGTGTTGCATTTAACGATGGAATAGAACTTGTTCTAATTTATTGGAACTGACCAATGAAAAGAAAGGTCAGAGTTGATATTGAATCATGAGTCTTATTTTTTCCATAAAGTTTCAAAAATAGCTTCCCAAGATAGACAAAAACAGAAAATACTGATTAAAACTACAATTAGAAAAACTTATTTGATTATTATAATATAGAGGAGTTTTTGTTTTGCAATAAATATAAATTATATCTTCCAAGAATTATCATAAAGAGGAAATTAAGAACGATTTGTTCAGCTAAAATAAATCTGGAAATGAAATTTGAAGGTATTGTAGAGAACTTTCATCTTTACAAAGTATTCTAAAGATGCATGCATCAAGACACATAGTGTAAATAAGAAGATGCATGAGGCAAAATTGAAGCATGAGTTTAGATGCATGTGTCAAGATGCATAGTGTAAACCGGCCTTTAAATGGACTTAACTTCAAAACAAACTTCATTTGCAGACAGAGGTGGTAATTAATCTCAATGTGACAGATAAAGATAATGCTTTGGATTTTCTTCAGGAGGAAAGCTAATTAATCCCAAGGGACTCATTCATTGCAGTATTCGGTTTACAATGGGAACACTTTCAGAAGTTATCTCTCTTTACCAATTCATTCTTATATAAAGTTAAGGAATCTACCCCACCACCACAGCTCCAAACCAGAGGACATACAGAAACAAACTTAGCATCAAAATATGTCTTTTTGCCTACTTAACTACCATACCAAATTTGAACTTAATTGGGCTACCATAAAAAAAGTTATTAGGAAAAAACAGAAAATTTGTGGACGGAAGAATGACAGACGGACAGCTAGACAGACAGAGTGATTACTATAGGGCACCCGCAAATCCTTGCGGGGCCCTAAAAATTTAACTTGGCCAAAGCTGTTAAACCGGCTTTCATATTCTGCAGGTGTATTCCTTGTGAACTCAAGCAGGCTTCTCTCTGAGTAACAGCATTTTTTCATATATCGACCTAGGAGTTTAACTTGCAATTGAGAAACTTTAACCTTTGCCATGAGCTGTCATATGAGGGTATCAGTGTTTTCCAAACAGATCTCCTTTTAATTCTAAGTTTATCAACAGCTCTAATCTATCAAAAGATCACTGCAGACACTGGGTGACCTTCCTATCAATCATAACTCCTGTGCGACCCCTGTAGGATCGCAAATTCTTCCTTCCTGGAGCTTTATCCTGCCTATCAGTATTGGATATTTACTGTCACCAGTATAACTGTATTTCAGATGTTCAACAGGACATATATCAATTGTTACTCAGCATGAGCTTCTGCCATAAAGCCATATATGTACTAAATCTTACATTCAAATGAGGTATTATCTGAGCCTCAATTGCTCTCCATGTAAATGTCAACCTCATCAGCATTATCTTCAATTTCTTATGACGCAGAAGCCAACTTGCTAGAATTGCATGTTGAACAAGAGCCCAGAGTAAAAGACAGATCTGGTGTTAAACAAGAACAAATTAAGCAGGCTCTGATATGATTCCTAGAGCCATTAACTTTCTGTGACAAAGGACCTGAGTGTCATTAGTAAGCTAAGAGCCATTACTGTCACATTTCTCACTTCATAAGGAGACTAGAAACTCCAAGATATTGATATTAAGAATGCTTATAATGTCCTTTTTTAATTTACTTTCTCACGATTTTTATGAAGATACATATAAAGCATGATTACTAATATGATATCAAGTTTTAAACTGTATCAGATTCTTTTACTGTCAATCACAGAGCTTCAGATCTGCGGCAGTTAATTCCTTTTCTACTTTGGATGACAAAATATAAATAATCACAAAAAATAATGTCAGTTCAAAATTTTAACTTTTTGAGATCTTTAAACATTATTTACTATTTTTTCTCGACACCTTACTTATCAAGCTAGCAAACTGTTATTTAGTATACAATACATTCAAAATTTTTGTGAGCTGTGTGTGATGTTTGATTGTGATAACAAAAATACGCATATGCAATAAAAAAATGCAGAAAGATTCGTGTAATTACAGAAAGTAGTTCTAACAAAAACAAACGGCAATCCTCAGCTGACTCTGCTTCGCTCCATTCAAACCTCGGACGTGATTAGTGGAGGAATACGCATCAGATCCTTACATTTCTCCGCCGAAAACTGCCTTATCACTCATTTCATATTTTGCTCTGCATAACGTTCTTCGAAAATGTTTCTTAATTTGTACAATTCTTTATCGTAAACAGGTTTTGATTACAACCTCATGTTAATAGGCTTTGAAAGCAGATGTTCACAAGAAAAAACTGTTGAGTGTGCCACAAAATAACCTTGATTTCAAATATATGACATTTGAAAGAAATTCAAATAAGATCACAAGACTAAATCAGCAAGATGGTAGATCACCGTTGACGTCCGAGGTTATGTGGTACGAGTCATCTGAGGAACTCCGAGTGAATGAAAAGTGAAATGTAATTTTCCTTATTTTTATCTTGTTTCTCAGGGACATGAAATAAATTTGCCATGTACAAAAGAAATATGAGAGTTTCTAAGATTTGATTAGGACTAGCTAAGAATTTAGGAACGAAAAAAAACATCACTATATCAGTTAATCTGTGATATCCATGTTCTTAGTAAATGAGATTTACTGTACTCTAAAGGTGTCCTTTTATCTATATCAATAAAATGTTGAAACTTGACCCTAATCAATTATCATAAAGAGTTTTGAAAGAATGAAAAAAACCTATCATCTGTTACCATTAAAGCATCATCTTAAACATAAGCTTGACTGAGAGTTCAGAATGGACAGAAAAACAACTTGTACTGAAACTTGACAGAGAGGTTTATAGTGGACAGAACATCAACTTATACTGAAACTTGACAGACTTGACTTCAAAGTGGACAGAACTTGCTGTCTGTTACCTTTAAGGCATCGTCTTCCTTTCTGTCCATCACTTCCAGTAACATGGCCGCTATAACGTTGAAGCCCTGACAATACCCAACGCTCTTGTTCCATCTCGCGTATCCCAGCAGCACCCTCTTCAGTACCGATCGGTCTTCATCATTTTCCTGTCCACTAAATCCACTACATCCTGTTCTGTGCAAGTCCTGAAATAAAACAGATCATCATGTTTTAGAATTGATTCTTCTATGATTTCCTCTGTTTGTGGTTAATTCTACTGTAACAGATGTATTTTTTAATAACTTATCATAAGCAACTTTGAAGTTCACATATTAATGCAATGCAGTTGTGGTGAAACAATAAAAAAATCTGGGAATATCCTGATAAATAATATTAACTTTAAAAATTATATCATTAAATTATAAGATGACACAAAGATTGTTTTGTATAATTGGTAAACTGCCATAAGGATCATGTATCAGTATCATACTCATGCAACATAAAAAAAAATCAATGAAATAATATCCCAGGCCATATTACTGACTCTTATCCAATGTAAATTTTTGTGCAGCACTATGATCTGAGCTAATTTCCCAATACTGTACTCTATGATTAGAATACAGCTGTATGTGAAATGTCATTTTTAAAATGAATTTTTATCAATGAAAAATTTTAGGTGCAAATACATGTATCAATGTTATCATTAATATTAAATTGCTTGGACTTGTAACAAATTATTATGTTTGGCATGAACTGCTGAGCATTCTTGAAGTGATAAATATTTGTCAGAATCTACTACATGTAGCTGCTACCATATTTGGCAATTTTACACCTTCCATATATAAAACAGTTGACCACATTAGATGTACTTTACCTTGACGATTTGAATCCCAAGGGAGTCGTCATCTGGATTACTGCGGTCATTAAACGCAAATCGGAGAGTCTTCGTCCAATCAATGCTCTGCTCCCTTATGTAATTATCAGCCAGGCTCAGCCAAACCTAAAATACAAACTCAATATAGATAAAAACAATGAAAACATTACGAGATTCTGTAACTATCACAGGCAGGGACTTCTGAAGACTTCCATTTCAATTTTTCATGATAAACAGACAATTATATCATCATAATGGGTCTCCATTGATCTTCTATGTATAATCAATGTGCAAATTTGTCTGATTTAAGAACTAATAAAATTTGTTTGTCTTGTAACCTAACATAATCGTCATTCCATGAGGCTGTCTAAAGTTAATTCTATGTTTAATAATGTCACCTGCCTGAATAGATTTTGGAGAAATTGGCATGCTTAAAACTAGAAAACTGACCAGTCAGCAAGGGCCCCGCCATGGGGTAGAATTATAAGGGTGCAGCTTACAGAATGATTAAAAAATGTACGAAGAATAAGCAACAGGAACTGTATTCTTAAAATTTCAAGATAATTCATAAATATTCAAAAACCTGTAAATAATATATATACCCTTGTATTTACATTAGGCAGTAAAGAAAAACTTAATATTGGATTTATATTTAAACAATAATGAAGCTTATGTTATACAAGAGGCCCACGGGCCTTATAGGTCACCTGAGTATTGTGTTACAACTTTCAAACAATCAAATTTGGTTCGTGTTTTAAACCAGAAGCCATGAAATTCACAATCCACAATTTTGAAAGAGGCACCATTGCTTTTCATAATTATTAACTTAGCATCCTTACTCTATTTACTTAATACCCAGAGGTAAATAAGTGTAACAAAGAGAAAATGCACTTCCACTTTATACACAGTTGTGCACCTTACCCCAAAGGAACCACTGACCCAGGGGCCACATATTTCAAAATTTTGAAAATTTCATCATAAAATGGTTGATGAATACCAAAGAGCTGATTTCAAAGCATTGATTTATTTTCAGACTATGTAACACCCCCCCCCCCGACCCAGGGTGCATAAAAACTACTTTGCTAGATGCATCTTTCCTCATCATAAATATATATACTTGGATCATTGGAATAAAGTCCAGAAGCAAAGGAAAATATTTTCAAAGAATTAATGTATTGTTACTATATATAATCAATAGGGCCCCACCCTAACACCAGAACCCCTGACCCTGGGGCCATAAAATTCACAATTTTGGAAGAGGTACTCTTGCTTATCATAACTATGTACTTAGTTAGTTTATTTAATACCCAGAAGCAGAGAAGATTTTCAGAGAATTCATGCATTTTCACTATATAATCAATAGAGCCCCCCTCCCCTAACACCAGAACCCCTGACCCTGGGGACATTAAATTCACAATTTTGGAAGAGGCACTCTTGCTCATCATAACTATGTGCTTAGTTAGTTTATTTAATACCCAGAAGCAGAGAAGAAGATTTTCAGAGAATTAATGCATTTTCACTATAAAATCCATAGAGCCCCGCCCTAACACCAGAACCCCTGACCCTGGGGCCATAAAATTCACAAATTTGGAAGAGGCACTCTTGCTCATCATAACTATGTACTTAGTTAGTTTATTTAATACCCAGGAGCAGAGAAGAAGATTTTCAAAGAATAAATGCATTTTCACTATATAATCAATACAGCCCCGCCCTAACACCAGAACCCCTGACCCTGGGGGCCATAAAATTCACAATTTTGGAAGAGGCACTCTTACTCATCATAATTATGTGCTTAGTTAGTTTATTTAATACACAGAAGCAGAGGAGAAGATTTTCAAAGACTAAATGTATTTCACTATATAATCAATAGAGCCCCACCCTAACACCACAACCCCTGACCCTGGGGCCATAAAATTCACAAATCTGGAAGAGGCACTCTTGCTCATCATAGCTATGTACTTAGTTAGTTTATTTAATATCCAGGAGCAGAGAAGAAGATTTTCAAAGAAATCATGCATTTTCACTATATAATCTATATAGCCCCACCCTAGCACTAGAACCCCTGACCCTGGGGCCATGAATTTCACAATTTTGGTAGAGGACTCAATGCTCATTACATTCATGCCAACAGTTTTCCTGATTGATGTCCAGGGGTAAAGAAGAAGATTTTTAAAGATTGCAATAATTTTAGTGGTTTTGGCCCCACCCCTCAGGCCCCAGGGGGGCGGGGACCATGAAATTCACAATTTTTGTTTCCCTTCACCCATAGATGCTTTATACCAAATTTGGTTGAAATTGGTTCAGTGGTTTCAGAGAAGAAGCTGAAAATGTTCAAATGTTAACACACGACACACGACGCACGACGACGGACGAAAACGGATAGCAATAGGTCACCTGAGTTACTCAGGTGACCTAATAAAATGCCAGCTTCCAATGAATGCAAATATCATGAAGACTTGAACTTAACTTCAAAACAAACAGCATTTGCAGACAAAGGTTTTCATTAATCTTAAAGTGACAGATAAAGATAAGCCTACTAAATTTTCTGCAGCAGGCTAGATAATTAATCCCAAGGGATTAATGGTACCTCTCTCATCCTTTTCTTCTAAAGTTACTATAACATGTATAAGAACTTCTTCAATATTTATAATGATAGAATGGGGTTTTTATACAACTACCTTTAAAATTAATGATATTCTTGAATTTACATAAAGGGGGAAAAAAGTAAAAATAAAAAATATATCTTCTTTAATCTATTTCTTGTTTTTAGAATTCAATGAAATCATATCTATTTTAACAAAAATAAAGTATGAACATTTATATTTAAATCCACATTTCTGAGTGTTCATAGCATTCCAAATTGACTTAACTTCAAAACATACTTCACTTGCAGACAGAGGTGGTAATTCATCTCAATTTGACAGATAAAGATAATGCTTTGGATTTTCTTCAGAAGGAAAGCTAATTAATCTCAAGGGAATCATAGCAGCATTCAGTTTACAATAAGAACATCTTAGCAGTTATCTCTCTTTGCCAATGCATTCTTATATAAAGTTAAGGAATCTACCCCACCACCCAGCTCCAAACTAGGGGACATACAGAAACAAACTTAGCATCAAAATATGTCTTTCTGCCTATTGAACTACCATACCAAATTTGATCTTAATTGGGCAACCATAAAAAAAGTTATTAGGAAAAAATAGAAAATTTGTGGACGGAAGAGTGACAGACGGACAGACAGACAGACAGACGGACGGACAGACAGAGTGATTACTATAGGGCACCCGCAAATCCTTGCGGGGCCCTAAAAACACAAATTGATATTTTTAAACTTTATATTTCTGCAGTTTTCTTTGATTTTTAGCAACTGAAAACAGTATTTCACAGGAATAGATAATATTTGGGTCTTGGATGTGGTTTGTTTGAGGTGTGTCTCTAATTTATACTGAAAAGTTGAATACAAATTCATCACAATACTATTAGAAAACTTGATGCTCAGATATTTATGTATTTGTAAATGAGTGAATATTCATTTGTTATAAGTTTTTGTTTGTTTGATTTTATTCTTCATCCCTCTTAGGTTTTGAGATTTAAGGTGACATTAAATGAAGAATTAATTTCAGCCAGCCTAATCTTTAACAAGTTTGATTTTTAAACAGTCCATTTGTCAATTCTTTCTATGCCCAAGAAATGACAAAATGCTAAAAAAAAATGCAAACAAAAATATCATCCATTTGTGAAGTGTGATAACAGTCAATTAAAGATGCCTGGTAGGAAGATTCAGAATTGCTAACACTATGTCAAGCTAGTAATGAATGTGCATTAAAGTACATCTATAGATCTAGAAGGTCATATTTTTCTGCAGACAGGAAAAATCCATTATAATGCAATATCTTGACATTTGTACGAAGAACAGATATCCTGCCTCAGACCCAATATAGTTCATGTTGCCAGATTTTGCATAGAATGATTACTAAAATTAATCTTAAGGACAAATGATGCATACAAAAAAATGGATGCCTGGATTGGTATATATTTTTGAGTCTTTAATTTTTGTTGCAAATGATGCAAATAATAAATTTCTAAAATATTAAGAATTTGTAACCCTGTAACGATGTTAAAAATTTTACCTTTCTACAACCATTGTTATTTAATCTAATGTGAAATCTTTTTTCACTTTAAATCAAATTATAGTAAAACTGTATAATTTTTTTTTAATCATTTTAATCATATATAAACATAAGCCAAATTGTTATTTTCAATTTTTGGGGGAAATATTTCCACATGGGGTATGTACTTTAAACTTAAGTTTTTTCTTGTTAAGGCGCGTACAAACCTTTTTTTACACCTGGAGTATGTACATTTCTTGTTAAGGCACGTACAAACCTTTTTCCTGAAGCTGTCAGGTATCCCATGAGGCAGTCTGGCCACGGCCCTCATAGCGTCCTTCCATTGGTCAAAGGCACTGGCTCCGGGCAGGGGCTCCAAACTAAATCGGATCCTGGTGTCGATTCCTAAAATAAACGGAAATAAATGTATGATATCCATTATTTACACTTTGTACCTAAAAATACCACTGCAGAATGAAGAATCCTAAGTTGAAACTTAATTTGCATAGTGTGTAATTCTGAAACATCAAATACATATACCTCAGTTGGTTGTTACGTTTTTATAACTAACAATATGGATTTGTAATTGAGTTCTCCACAACGTAATTACTTAATTATTAATATAAATCAGTTATTCTTTAATATGGGGTTTACTGGTAAAAAAGTGGTTGTGGAAACTTGATTTTGTAGATGAATAGCAATAGGGCTGACTTGTTGTATGTTTGAAATTTTGCATTTTGTGAAGGACATAAATTGTGCCACTGGGTCTCTTCACACAAAAACAAAGGAAATTACAGTAATGTAAAAAAAAAATATTGATTTCATAGTATTTGTTAATTTGAAGATTTCTAAAAATTAGCAATTCCTGATAAGTAAGGAGAGCCCAAGAAAATGCCCAACTTTTTTTTACTTGTTTTGGGGAAAGGGGGGGGGGTGGTTGTTAAGTAATGATAGACAATGTTTGTTAAAAATATCTTGTTCTTATACACTCTGTATATTTACCATTTGTTCTCATGTTTGAACTTTCTAATTCCTGCATAAATCATTCTGAATTGGGGAATACTTTTCACTTTGTTTTGGATTTTTCCAATTATAAATGTTTATTTGAATAAACAAAATACTCTGAATGATATTAATTAATATTAAATTAACAATGGAAAATATATTTACATCTAAATCTGCTTGATAAGAACATATACTAAAAACTTGCTTACTATGGTTATTAGCATCTCAAAATGCAACTCTTATTATCTTGCTCATCAGGCAAAAATATCCAATTAGGAATTTCAAAAATAAATCAATGTAAATCACTGGCAGTGTATTGATAAATTCTTACAGAGGATGATGACAAAATTAACCCAACTGAAATCTTCTACGTCAATAAACCTCAACTCCGCAAAGGTACATAAATAGATTTATTATAAATACACCCCCTCAGAAATTGACAAGAACAATGCCATTATTAGCTTAATTTCACTTGCTGATAAAATTCTCTGATCTCCCAGGAAACTAAACCCCAGAGAATTAATACAGGCCAAATGGGACTCTTAAAATAGCTCCTTGTGACAGGGCATGTACAATAAAATACCATTAGCCAACACAAAAAATTCTTCTATTCCATTCATGATGGTAAAAAAAAAATTACAAGAAAAAAAAAATTGGTAGTATTGATCAAGGTTGATAGGGCAATTTACATTAATGGGGAAAAATTAATAATAATATAACACATTAGTAGCTTAAATTTGAAAATATGCCACACAGTATTTAAAACTTACTTCTAAACTACATACGTATCTACTGATTTATCCAAGTAAGCGTTTTCGTCTGATCAGAACACGTGTTGGGGGGGGGGGGGGGTTACGTTCTCTGCTTTAACTTATTCGTAATTATTGTTATTGAAAGTATTGATATTTTTTATTAGACCGCGATTTTTTCTGTTCAAATTCTCATTCAGAAAGAATGAAACACGTGAAGACTCGTAGCCCATATACTCACAAATGTAAATATACCAACAACTACGTACCTTCATTCACGGTTTTTGTTCTCTTTGGTGAAAATGACAACTGTCCAATGCTATTTAAAAATCCAAACATCGTTTTAAAAATTTTTCTTTAAAATTGACATTAATTCATTGCTGTTGTCTTTGAATTAACACACACGGGTACAGCAGGTGTAATTCGTGATACTCAGCTTAGATAACTATGCTGTCATAACTCGCGATCCCTAGGGACTATCATAGATTTAATCTATCCACTGTCCAAAAAATCGATAGTTTTGAGGTGTATATGTCATCAACGTTATTATGGAATTCAAACAAAGTAACTTGCGATGTCAAGAACATATCAGAAATAATTCGGCTAAATCCATAGCGGTTTTTCAGAGCAAATCTCATATAAATATATCTGTAATTTTAGTTAAAACTTTTATAACACCGAATATTCATGAAATAACTGTCTCCATTTCAGGGTTTTTACCGCCTTCAGTCATTAAAAAAAATCACACATCGGAATGATCGCTGAGTCTAAATGCTAATGTCTCTATCTCTCTGGGAACATATTCGTCCCACTCAAAAGCGGACAGCCTCCTCTGGAAACATCGATTCTACTCTCTCCGTTTTATCTTGGTCTCATCTAAGATAATATGGAAAGAAAGTCCAACGTTCCTTCTATTTACAACACCGCTCTATCAATAGCTGTCTCTAAATCATTCACAAAACTAGTAATCAATTCTCCAAAGGACTCAAAGACAACGAGTTCGCTCTTTAATAACTATTCTCAAAGACGATCCATTTTTTGTGCGCTTAAGTAAATTTCCCTTCCATTACAGATGAAGAAAATAATAAAACCAGATAGAGTAACAACAGAGTGATCAATATTGGTATCTAAAGGTCAAAACAAGGGTCCAATATCGATATTTCTCTCCCAAGATTAAGTATAGCGTGAATATGTACAGTAATGGAATACAGACACACCCTGAAGTTATTTCCAATCAAAGCACCAAGAAATCAAATTTAACAAAAAGAATCGAACATTTAGTAAGTTTGGCTACAGAAGGAGCGTTACCCCGGCGGTTATTATCACCTTCGGAGAATTTCCAATAATGACGTAGGTTAGACTTTTGTTCGACTCTTTCGATAACCGTTTACGATGGTGAAGGTTTATAGTTTTCACTGCCCCTACCTTAGATAAACACCCACGTTTATTAATACTGTTTGTTTGTCGAGTACTCTTTGATGACAGTTGTTCCGACAAACGGAAGGAAAAGACAAAAGTAAACGACTTGGAGCACTTGCTAGAATTCTCAGTATACTGTAAAAGCTTCTGTTTTCTATACGAAATGGACGAAAATAAACGGTAAAAACGAACATAACAACGTCAATGAAAATTGGAATGGAGACATCACAATACCGATATTGTTTTTTTAAGAGCAGGATCATCTGTGAGTAGTTATTTTTATTTCTTGTTCAGAGACATAAAACATGGTCAGATTATAATCTGTAGCAGAATATTTTTAGGCAACCTTTAAAAAGATCTTACTGAGCGACATTTTTGTATAAAATGCGAAATAAGATAGGCAGAATTATTACTAATTAGCATACTAGACAGCTGATACATTTTTATGCTTTATTTCCATGTTTTCATGGAAATAAATGGCCTGTATTTTGCATTTTCTATAAACTTTGCCCCCAAACTGGAAGCTACATAAGGCCTAAAAAAAAATATGTTTGTGTCCGCTTTCCCGACCGACCCTAATTTATAGTGCCGACCCTAAAAATTTTTTTAATGCTTTTGTCCCATGTAGTGCAAGATTTCACCCAGGGAATTAAGTCTAAAGAAAGATTTTCAAGCATGTATATTGCATTTTTTAAGTCACAGAAATGCTTGAAAACACCATTTCTTTTGTCATTAATGTTACTTCTATACACGTTTTGATTAAAGAAGTAAAAATAATTTTCAAAAAAAAAAAATTTGCTTACCGACCTATCCTATATTTTTTCAGCCTGAAAGCGGAAACAAACATACTTTTTTTCTAGGCCTAAGCTGAAAATTTTGGGGTCCAATTTCATTAAGCTTATTTCGCTGAATCTCCTTTACATTCATGTCATGATGCAAATAGTTTTTCTCTTATTATGGAAAAGTGCAAGGGTAAGTAAACTCAGGACTCTCAAAGTCTTTCTTTTTCTTCTTTCAAACAAGTTCACTCTGTTTGCAGAATTAAAATTTGGGGGGGTTGCTATGAAGTTTGGCCCTTTTACCTCAGGCCATCTGAATGTAAGGTTCAATCCTTGCACCTTAGGCCCTTTGAGTGTAGGGTTTGTATCTTAAGCCCCATGGGTGTGAGGTTTAACCCTTTTACCTCAAGTCCTGTGGGTATAAGGTTTGCTCCCCAGTGCCACTGGCCTTATGGGTATAGGTTCTGGCCTTATCGGATATCCTATACCTCTGGCCTTATGGGTCTTAAGTTTGACCCCTGTACCTCTGGCCCTATGGGTATAAGGTTTGAGCCCTGTAGCTCTGGCCCTATGGGTATAAGGTTTCACTCCTATACCTCTGGCCTTATGGGTATTAGGTCATTGACTCCTGTATTTCTGGCCTTGTGGGTATAAGGTTTGACCCCTGTACCTCTAGTCTTCCGGGTATAAGGTTTGACCCCTGTACCTCTGGCCTTATGGGTATAAAGTTTGACCCATTTCTCTGGTCTTATGAGTATAAGGTTTGTCCCCTGTACCTCTGGCCTTATGGGTATAAGGTTTGACCCCTGTACCTCTGGCCTTATGGGTATAAAGTTTGAACCCTGTACCTCTAGTCCTATGGGTATTTGGTTTGACCCCTGTACCTCTGACCTTATGGGTATATGGTTTGACCCCTGTACCTCTGACCTTATGGTATATGGTTTGATCCCTGTACCTCTGGCATAGTGGGTATAAGGTTTGACCCTTGTACCTCTAGCTTTATGGGTTTAAGGTTTGACCCCTGTACCTCTGGCCTTATGGGTATAAAGTTTGGCCCATTGCTCTGGTCTTATGGGTAAAAGCTTTATCCCCTGTACCTCTGGCCTTACGGGTATAAGGTTTGACCCCTGTACCTCTGACCTTATGGGTATAAGGTTTGACCCCTGTATCTCTGGCCTTATGGGTATAAGGTTTGACCCCTGTATCTCTGACCTTATGGGTATATGGTTTGACCCCTGTATCTCTAGTCTTATGTGTATAAGGTTTGACCCCTGTAAATCTGGCCTTATGGGTTTAAGATTTGACCCCTGTACTTCTGGCTTTATGGGTATAAAGTTTTACCCCTGTACCTCTGGCCTTATGGGTATAAAGCTCTGTCTTATGTGTATAAGGTTTGACCCCTGTACCTCTGGCATAGTTGGTATAAGGTTTGACCCTTGTACGTCTAGTCTTA